GCCACGCTGGCTGTGGCCAGTGCTGTGCACCTAGCCTCTGGCACAGAGAGGAAGGGGTGACGTTGTCCTAAGAAGAAATGTACCACCAGGTGCCAGTGGCTCACACTGTAACCCTGGATACCCGGAGGCCGAGATCTGAGGGTTGTGGTTCAAAGCCAGCCCAGGCAGGAAAGTCTGTGAGACTTATCTCCAATAAACCACCAGCAAACCGGACGTGGTCTGTGGCTCAAGTGGTAGAGCACTTGTTTTGAGCTGAAGCACGCAGGGACAGCGCCCAGCCCCTGAGTTTAAGCCCCACAACTGACTCCCCAAAAAGTGCTTTCCCCCCTCCATTCTGGAAGCAGTGGCACCTTGCCTCTCTGGCTGGGGAGGCAGCCAGGCTGCTGCCCAAACCATCACCCGTTCCTCACAGAAGCCCTACCCACACAGCAAGGCTGGCCAGGAGGTTCACCATCTTACCACGTTTCCACAGCATGGAGAAATGGTCTCTGAAGGCTCGGTTTTGCACCAGCTGTTAGCTGGCAGCCTGGTGGGGCTGGGAGGTCCTATGGCTGCAGAGAACTCTTGGAATCGGTATCCGACCTGTGACATCCCACAGCCAGGGTTCAGATTCGGGATCAAGCCACAGAAATGGCTCGGTGCTTTCCCAAGCACCACTGCCCTACTATCCCCTGGTGAAATGTTCCCTTCCTGGCCCTGCAAGTTTGGACTCCACTCGTCTCGAGGTTTTAGATTCCAAGGGACCAATTCATTCAGTTCCCCCAGGGCTTTTCTGTGATTAGGCCTGAAAGTCCTAAGTCCTTGGAGTCCCCTCTGTCTTGGGAAGACTCTGGCATGTTCTACCAAAGGCCACATCACGGGGAAGCTGAGACCTAGCGGCGGCTCTCACAGCAGGGGACAGACAGGGAGGCCCTGGCGCTGGCTGGGGAAAGGGGTTTTATTACAGGCTGGAAAGGACACAGTCAAAGGCCAGAGTTCCCCAAGGATGTCTGTGTACCCTCCCAAGTCCCACAGGAAGGGACAACAAAGAACCAGTGCCACACGGGCAAAGCTGAGAACATCAGTGGATCTTTGGGGCAAAGCCTTAGGACCCCACCAGGCAAAGAGCCCCAGTAGGCAGGGCTCCTACCAGGGCAGAGGGAGCAAGCTAGGCGGAAAGGACAGCTACGGATGGATGCCTGCTACGCCGGCCGGCGGCCGGAGGGAAGATGAGCAGGAGCGACATTCAAACTTGGGCTGACCGATTTTCTTCCTGTTTCCTCCCTCCATGCCCCTGCCAGCTAACAGCCAGTGTTGACCATGGCTAACGCTGCATCTTTGTGCTTCTACCATGTCCCTCTCAAACACGCTCAAGGAGTGCAAAGGGCTATGCAAATGATGTCTCCTCCAGACAGACAGCCTGTCTGACAGAGTTGTATATTAGGCAGAGGCATGGTTTTGCTTTTGCTGTTACTCGGAAATCAAATGCAATTTTCAGAAGTGTGTTGTGAATGCTGAGTCTTCAGAAGGGACAACTTGGGGCTATTCAGACTTGGTTAGGCTGAGATCTTTCCGTCTGTGGTCGAAGACTGACATGGTGGTTGTCACTCTGAAAGTCATGGCCAGATGTGGTAGCAGGCGGAGCAGGTGGCTGAGCTCCGCTTGTCTGCCTTCTGCCTTGGATCCTCCAAGCTGATGCTCACGAGGAAACTCCCTGGTCCAGAGCCCATGGAGACTGGAGTGTCCCAAACACTTCTCATATGCACTTGCTCTTCCTTTTTCTAATTTTAACTTTTGGGGGTGGTACTGAAGTTTGAACTCAGGGCCTTGCACTTCCTGGGCCAGTGCTCTACCCTTGAGCCATTCCCCTGGTTTTTTTTGCCTTAGTTATTTTTCATACAGGGTTTCTGTTTTGCCTAGGCCGACCCTGAACCTCCATCGTTGACACCTACATTCAGAGTAGCTAGCATTACTGTGCACAGCACCATGCTCAGACCAGTTTACTGGCTAAGGACTCTGTCAGTATCCCAGTGACAGCTCTCTGAAACAAATTTCCCTCTGCTGTGCCATCTCTTCATTTTTTTTGTCATAGTATTTACCTCTATCCAATAACTAGCATGTGTTCACTCGCTGGTCTCTGCCGAGTAGCAGATTCCATGAGGGAAAGGACCTGGCTTATCTTGCTTGCCGAGAGACCTCCCGGTAAGTCTCTGGCCACAGACAGAAGGAAATGACTGTCTGAATGAGCAAGACAACAGGAGAGACACCACAGTGTCATGTCACATGTATGAAACTGAGTGTCACATACAGTGTGGTTAAAATAATGTTGAAGATACAGGCAAGCTTTCCTATGTGGAAGCTAGGTCTACAGCTGTACACATTCACACACAGTCAGACTACAGGAGGGTACCCAAGAGCATAACTCCTTTGAACATTTAAAATACTATTTTCAAAATGAATTCCAGGAAATGGTAACCTGGGGGTGGGGGTGGTGATGTGCTTGTTTTTGCTTTTAGGGCTTTTTTTTTTTTTGTCTTTTTAGGGGGAGCACAGAAAGGTGGAGAGGGTGAATCAATGCAGGCACAGTATAAACTATGTGGAAAGTGAGCTGTGGGAAACTAGGGGACAGCAAAGGAAGGGGTGACATTGAAGAAGGAAAGAAAGAAAGGAAGGAAGGAAGGAAAAAAGAAAGACAGACACTCATTCCCTGACTTTGGTGACCCTGCTGTATAACACCTTAATAAAAACAATAATATTACATTTTTAAGGCACAATTTGATAAACATTCTTTTTTTTGGGGGGGGGGTCCGGTGGTGGGGCCTGAACTCTGGGCCTGGGCGCTGTCCCTCAGCTCTTCAGCTCAAGGCTAGCTCTCTACCACTTGAGCCACAGCGTCACTTCCAGCTTTTTTCTTTTTGCTTATGTGGTGCTGAGGAATTGAACTCAGGGCCTCAGGCATGCAAGGCAAGCGCTCTACCACTGAGCCACCTTCCCAGCCCTGATAAACATTCTATGAGCATGCAAACAACACAATTACAGAAAGCAGACAGGGGTCGGGAATGAGAACAGCAGCGGAGGGGAAATTTTTACAAGATGGTATTTGCTAGACTGAGGACAGAACCACAAACAGCAGAAAGTAGCCAATTTGACTTTGTGTCTCTAGTGGCACAGGGTGATGGTGGACAGAATTAAAACTAAAAAGCGACTGGGAAGGAGGCTCAGTGGTAGAGTGCTTGCTGTGTATGCATGAGGCCCTGGGTTCGATTCCTCAGCACCACATACACAGAAAAGCTGCAAGTGGTGCTATGGCTCAAGCGGTAGAGCGCTCTCGAGCTGAAGGAGCTGAGGGACAGCGCCCAGGCCCCGAGTTTAAGCCCCAGGACTGGCCAAAGAAAAAACAAAAACCTGAAGAGCCACCTCCCAATAGTCTTTCCAGGACCAGGTGCGGCCATGGGCCCCATACCTCGGGGGCCTGCTGGCTGGAATGGACCCAGGCAGCTCCAAGGCTGTTCCCTTTCTGGGCCAGCGGTGTCCCCAGTGTCCCCCCAGGGTCCCGCCAGCCGGGTGCAGAGGCCGATGGCCAATGATCCCAGAGCTCACCTGGCAGCTCACCTCCACCCACCCAGGCCCTGGCCTCCTGGAGGACCCATGCATCTGCAGGAGATGGACCAGCCAGGCGGGAGGCTGCTGGACACGGGGCGGGCAGGGCCAGGCTGAGGCCGAAGCAGGCTCTAGGCTGGGTGAGCTCTGTCACTCCACAGCTGAGCCAGGGCCACAGCCTGGCCGCCAAAGCTTCTCTGCATCCTCTATGCGCTCTCCAGGGACATCTGTGTGTCCTCTCTGTGCGGGGTCAGCCCTAGCCCGCCGTCCCTGTGCAGGTCAGCCCTAGCCCGCCGTCCCTGTGCAGGTCAGCCCTAGCCCGCCGTCCCTGTGCGGGGTCAGCCCTAGCCCGCCGTCCCTGTGCAGGTCAGCCCTAGCCCGCCGTCCCTGTGCGGGGTCAGCCCTAGCCCGCCCTCCCTGTGCGGGGTCAGCCCTAGCCAGGCCCCTGCCGCGCCCTCCCGAGGCCAGGGGGACCCCGCCACCCAGGCCGGCATCCCCGGGGGCCTAGCGTTCGGTGGAGGCCACGGTCATCCACGGGAGACCCAGTCCTTCTGTCTCACGCACCCTGTTTCCCAGCCTCCCGGGCGCCCCCCCTCCCGCCCCCACCATCGCCTCCCCGCGCCCTCCCGCCCTCCCCGCGCCCCTCTCCTCTACCGCCCCTCCCGCCCCCTCCCCGGGCCTCCGCGCCCCTCCCGCCCCCTCCCGCCCCCCTCCCCGGGCCTCCGCGCCCCTCCCGCCCCCTCCCCGGGCGTCCGCGCCCCTCCCGCCCCCTCCCGCCCCCCCTCCCCGGGCCTCCGCGCCCCTCCCGCCCCCTCCCCGGGCGTCCGCGCCCCTCCCGCCCCCTCCCCGGGCGTCCGCGCCCCTCCCGCCCCCTCCGCCGCCTCATCTCCCGCCCCAGCTCCGGCGCCCAGGTCTCCGCGCCGCAGGCCAGGTCCGGGCGGCTGCGCGTCGGCGGGCCCGGTGCGGGGCCGGTGCGGGGCCGGTGCGGGGACGCAGGCACGCCCTAGTGCGGCGCCCCGCCCCCGCGCGCCCCGCCCCCGCGCGCCGCCGATTGGCTCCCCGCGGGCCGGCCGGGCCGGATTGGCTGCGGCCGCGCGGCCGCCGGTCCCGAGCCACGGTGGGCAGCGCCGCAGCGCGGATGCCGCCCGGCCCCGCCGCGGCCCCGGGGAGCGCGGAGCGGGAGCGGGAGCGGCCGAGCGGGGCGGCCGGGCGGGGCGCGCCTGCGGGAGCCGCTCCCGCCGCCCGCCGGGCCACCTCGGGCGGGGCGGCCCGGGGGTCGCGGCCGCGCCCGGGGGCCGCGCGCGGCGGACAAAGGGCCATGCGGGGCCGCGGGCGCTGAGCGCGGCGGGCGGGCCGGGGATGCGGGGCGGGGCGGCGGGGGCCCGGGCGCCGCGGGGACGGCCCTGACCGCGGCGGCCGCGATGCCGCGGTTGCCGGTGAAGAAGATCCGCAAGCAGATGAAGCTGCTGCTGCTGCTGCTGCTGCTCACCGGCGCCGCGTGGCTCACCTACGTGCACCTGAGCCTGGCGCGCCCCGCACGCGCGCCGCGCCAGCGCCCGGGCGCCGGCCGAGGTACGCGGGGCGGCGCGGGCGGGCGCGGAGGGCCGGGCGCGGGGACGCGGGGACGCGGGCGGTCTGGCCCGGCCGCCCTCCCCCGCGCGGCTGTGCTGGGCGAGGGGCCGCGGGAGGCCCCGGGAGAGGCCGGTGACGTCAGCGGTGACGCGCGCGCCCCGGGCGGACCCCTCCCCGGACCGACCCCTCCCCGGACCGACCCCTCCCCGGACGGACCCCTCCCCGGACGGACCGACCCCTCCCCGGACGGACCGACCCCTCCCCGGACCGACCCCTCCCCGGACCGACCCCTCCCCGGACGGACCGACCCCTCCCCGGACCGACCCCTGCCCGGGCGGACCCCTGCCCGGACCGACCCCTCCCCGGACCGACCCCTCCCCGGACGGACCGACCCCTGCCCGGACGGACCGACCCCTCCCCGGACGGACCGACCCCTGCCCGGACCGACCCCTGCCCGGACCTACCCCTGCCCTGGCGGACCCCTCCCCGGGCGGACCCCTCCCCGGACGGACCGACCCCTGCCCGGACCGACCCCTGCTCGGACGGACCGACCCCTCCCCGGACCGACCCCTCCCCGGACCGACCCCTCCCCGGACGGACCGACCCCTCCCCGGACCGACCCCTCCCCGGACCGACCCCTCCCCGGACGGACCGACCCCTCCCCGGACCGACCCCTCCCCGGGCGGACCCTGGGGTCTGGCTTGGACCCCGAGTGCTCCGGTTAGCCGGGGTGGGGCCGGGTCTCCGCCTCTGCCTGCTCAGCAGGGCCTCAGTTTCCCTGCCTACGGGTGGGAGCGCCGCCCTGACCCCAGGCCTGTGCGCTTGGGGGATCGGGGCTGCCAGGGTCACTGACTGCCCCACGCCCGTGCCCGCGCCGCGGGGGCCGTGCCCGGTGCGGGGGCGCGCCCCGGGGGTGAGCCCACACACAACGTGTCTCATTGCCCGTGAGCAGGAGCCGGGAGGGGCCGTGGAGATGACACATTCGGGGAAAGAGCTTCCGAAGGCGGCGGGTAGCAGAGACAGAAGCAGCTGGAAGAGGAGGAGACAGGGCCAGAGTGGGGAAGCTGGGGAGTGGACAGTGGACCCCTGGCCAGGACTGAGGGGTGGACAGCGTGAACCCCTGGCCAGGACTGAGGGGGGTGGAGGACAGCGTGGACCCCTGGCCAGGACTGAGGGGTGGACAGCGTGGACCCCTGGCCAGGACTGAGGGGGGTGGACAGCGTGGACCCCTGGCCAGGACTGAGGGGGGTGGACAGCGTGGACCCTGGCCAGGACTGAGGGGGTGGACAGTGTGGACCCCTGGCCAGGACTGAGGGGTGGACAGCGTGGACCCCTGGCCGGGACTGAGGGGTGGACAGCGTGGACCCCTGGCCAGGACTGAGGGGTGGACAGCGTGGACCCTTGGCCAGGACTGAGGGGGTGGACAGCGTGGACCCCTGGCCAGGACTGAGGGGTGGACAGCGTGGACCCCTGGCCAGGACTGAGGGGTGGACAGCGTGGACCCCTGGCCAGGACTGGGGGGGGTGGAGGAGAGTGTGGACCCCTGGCCAGGACTGAGGGGGGTGGAGGACAGCGTGGACCCCTGGCGAGGACTGAGGGGGGGTAGAGGACAGTGTGGACCCCTGGCCAGGACTGGGGGGTGGACAGCGTGGACCCCTGGCCAGGACTGAGGGGTGGACAGCATCGACCCCTGGCCAGGACTGAGGGATGGACAGCATCGACCCCTGGCCAGGACTGAGGGGGTGGACAGCGTGGACCCCTGGCCAGGACTGAGGGGTGGACAGCATCGACCCCTGGCCAGGACTGAGGGGGGTGGAGGACAGCGTGGACCCCTGGTCAGGACTGAGGGGGGTGGAGGACAGCGTGGATCCCTGGCCAGGACTGAGGGGGGGTAGAGGACAGCGTGGACCCCTGGCCAGGACTGGGGGGTGGACAGCGTGGACCCCTGGCCAGGACTGAGGGGTGGACAGCATCGACCCCTGGCCAGGACTGAGAGGTGGACAGCATCGACCCCTGGCCAGAACTGAGGAGGTGGACAGCGTGGACCCCTGGCCAGGACTGAGGGGTGGACAGCATCGACCCCTGGCCAGGACTGAGGGGGGTGGAGGACAGCGTGGACCCCTGGCCAGGACTGAGGGGTGGACAGCGTGGACCCCTGGCCAGGACTGAGCGGGTGGACAGCGTGGACCCCTGGCCAGGACTGAGGGGGTGGACAGCGTGGACCCCTGGCCAGGACTGAGGGGGTGGACAGCGTGGACCTCTGGCCAGGACAGGCCCCAGCCAGCCTCCTCTGACTTGTGGAGGAATTGGCGTCCTGAGCTGGGTGTCAGGGGAGGCAGTGTCCCCTGTCCCAGGAGCCCCAAGCCGGGCACTGACTCAGGACATCCTAGACCACTCCACCCGAGGGGCTTCCAGGGGCTTCGGTCCTCTTCCTGCCTCCCAGCCGTGGAGTCCCCTCTGCCTCTGCATGCCTGGAGGCCTCTCCATGGACCCTAGACCGCTCCACAGCCAGGGCTCTGGGGCTGGTCCCCACCCCCAAGGGGGTCCATAGGTTACCTGAACCCATGCATCTCATACTGCAGGCCACATCTTCAAGAGATCCCTGACACTGAAGCCCCGCCCTCACCCCATGTCAGCTGATAGGGCGGAAGCCCGAGCTCTCAGCTTCCATCCGCTGCTTCTGTGGGTTGCTCAGTTGCCATAGGCCTCCAGCCCAACTTCCTGAGAAGTCAAGGAGCCAGCTGAACCTGGAGGGGTGTCGGCATAGAAGCCACACCCTGGCCCCCTCCCCCCCCCCCCCCCCCCCCCCCCCGCATCCGAGGGGTAGCTAGAGACCTGGGTAGGTGGGAGCTGTTCTGGGTCCTAGAAGGCCGAAGGTGCCAAGTGGCCCTGACAAGAGCAGCCTGGGCTCCCATCAGCCCTGCGGGACTTTTGAAAAGCAGCTGAACGTTGAGGTTTTCCAGACTGGCCGGTGGAGGCAGCATCGTGGTGGTGTCCGGCAGGCTGCGCACAGAGGCCCCGGGGGTAGGAGGACCAGAGGTCTCGGGCCTACAGGGTGATGGTGGCAGCCTGGCCTAGAACTGTACTACAGAAAAGTTTAATGCCTCTAGCTACCTGGACTTAGCTTGTTGGGCTGTGGACATCTGGAGCAGCCAAGCTGGCCAGGAGCCTGTTCCTTGCTTACCTCCCAACTAGTCAAAAGTGACTGAGGGAAGGCTCTGGAATCAGGAGCCTGGGAGAAGCACGGTGGGGGTCTCACTGGGCAGGAGCCAGGCCAGGGCGGGCAGGAGGGGCTGGAACCGGTCAGAGTGAGACTCCCCACCTAGAGGCTCAGGTCCTGGGTGTGGACCCTGGAAGGTGCTGTGGGGTGGTCATGGAGAATGTCCAGTAAGTGGAGAGAAATGGGCACAGAGATGTCCTGCCTCCGGCTTGGGGAGGGAGCGAGCTGTGGAGATGTCTCTGCCTGTCTGTGAGGGGTGCCATCTAGGGCACAGTCTTCCTCCAGGGCCACCTTGGTGCCGGGTCCTCTGGTAGACCGGCGCGGTGCCCCTGCCAGGGCTGCCTTGTTCAGGTGGCGTGGCTTGACCCTGGAACACCATGCTGGCTTTCCCTGCGGTCACCTTCGAGTCTCACTCTTGAGCCACATGGGAAAGGCTCTGGGGGCTCCCAGAAGGCTGGAGTCCTTCCTGAGGCAAGCCACTCAGTGAGAAGGGCAAGATGGGCACCCAGCGGCTGCAGATACACACATAGCCCTGCTCCCTCCCGGAAGCCTGGGCTCCAGCAGCACCTTCCTACCCCGCTGCAGCTGTGCGGGACAGGCCCACCGTGCCCCTGCTGACATGGTGAAGGTTCAGAGAGCTCTTGTTTGCCACCCACAGACGGGGAGAAGCTGCCCAGTGTGACGGACAGCCACGGGGCCCAGGCCCTGCCGGCCACGCAGAGGGTGGACGACTCCAGTGAGAGTCGAGAGGAGGAGCAGGCGGTAAGCGGGGAGGGGTGGAAGGCGTGCCACCTTGTCTGTGTGAGCACCCTGGCCTGGCGTTGCATATCCGGGCAGACACAGGTGGTGTGTGTGCGGCTGTGTCCTGAGGGCGCGTGCGGAGGGTGCTCGGCCTGAGACAGACTGTGTGTGAAGGTGCCTTGCTGTGTCTGCCTGCGCTTGTGTGTGGCGGGGACCCTACTTACCCTTGCTGCCCTTCCTCTCCTGAAGTTCGAGGGGCGGGACCCAAACATGCTATTTCCTGGAGGGGCAGGGAGGCCCCCACCACTGAACCTCACACGTCAGACACCCCCTTGGCGGGAGGAGGTGAGCTCTGCCCCTCCTGGATGGGCTGGGAGGTGGGGGGGGAGGTAAAGCCCCCCTGGATGGGCAGGGCGGGGGTGGGAGATAAAGCCCCCCTGGATGGGGGGGGAGGTAAAGCCCCTCTGGATGGGCTGGCAGGGGGAAGGGGAGGAGGGGGAGGGAGATAGAGCCCCCCTGGATGGGCTGGCAGGGGGAAGGGGAAGAGGGGGAGGGGTAAAGCCCCCCTGGATGGGCAGCCGGGCGGGGGGGGGGGGGGGGAGGTAAAGCCTCCCTGGCTCCAGTTCAAGGGACAGGTGAACCTGCACGTTTTTGAGGACTGGTGTGGAGGTGCGGTGGGTCAGCTGAGGAGGAATCTGCACTTCCCGCTCTTCCCTCATGTGAGTGCCCGGGTGGGCTGGCGGGCTGGGGGGGCACCAGGCTGGCCTCGGCGTCACTGCTCACTACCTCCCTAGACGCGCACCACCGTGAAGAAGTTGGCAGTGTCCCCCAAGTGGAAGAACTATGGACTCCGGATTTTTGGCTTCATTCACCCAGCGAAAGATGGTGTGGGGGCGGGGTGTGCCGCGGAGTGGGGTGTCAGGGGGCGGTGGCGTGAAGAGCCTGAACAAGCCCTTGTCCTGTGGGCTAGGGGACATCCAGTTCTCCGTGGCTTCGGACGACAACTCTGAGCTCTGGCTGAGTGTGGATGAGAGTCCGGCAGCTGCCCAGCTCATAGCCTTTGTAGGCAAGGTATGCCCTGCCCGGCCCTGCAGCTTCTTGGGAATGGGTCTGGTGTGCCCCAAAACACAGCAGCCCTTAGGCTCGCTGCTGTGTCACTTCTAGACCGGCTCTGAGTGGACTGCACCTGGAGAATTCACCAAGTTCAGCTCCCAGGTGTCCAAGCCCCGGCGGTGAGTTGGGGCGAGCATATGTGCTCAGGAGTGTTGGTGGGTGGAGGAGAAGCTGGGTGAGCCTCCTTACACTGTCACTGGCCTGCAGAGAGCAGCCCGGCCGGAGGGAGGGCGGGCGGGTCTCTCTCACGCGCACACACACACACACACCCTGGGCTCTCCCTCTGTTTGGGGTTCCTGGATAATGATGATGAAGACACGTTCTTCATGTTCACAGGCTCATGGCCTCCCGGAAATACTACTTTGAACTGCTTCACAAGCAGGATGACCGGGGCTCAGACCATGTGGAAGTGGGTGTGAGTATGGCGGGTCTTCCTGAGATGCCGGAAGACCCCAGCCCCCTCCTTCCCCTGACTCCCTCCCCCACCCCAACCTCCTTGCAAGACTGCTTCACTATGGTCCATGCCCCAGAGACCTCTCCCTTATCCCGTGAAGCAGAGGCTCTGGTGTGAACCTGGGTCAGGAGGGCCTGCTGTGCTGGCTAGGGTACCATTGAAGAGCAGCCTTCAGCAAGCAGACGTGGAAGGGAAAGAGTTTGGGGTAGGAATTCCAGACCTAGTGGGTGGACCTGTGTCTCCCAGCGTCTTCTGAGACCTGAGAGGTCTGGTGGCCAGGCCCGGCCTGCAGGGCCATACTGGACAACACAGGCTATCCGGAGAACGAAGCAGGGAGACTTTCGTTCCAAGAAAACTCTGGCCAGTGTGGGAAGGCCAAGCACTGAGAGGAGCCCTTGGGAGGGCATCCAGGCAGGTCAGAGGCGGGAGGGCATCCAGGCAGGTCAGAGGCGGGAGGGCATCCAGGCAGGTCAGAGGCGGGAGGGCATCCAGGCAGGTCAGAGGCGGGAGGGCATCCAGGCAGGTCGGAGGCGGGAGGGAACTTCGCAGGGTAGGAGGGAGGTCGGCCCTCAGCCTGAGGCCGCAGGGTGTTGCATGTGTCCAGTGCATGTGATCACTGTGAGCTTAACTCAGCAGGCTGGAGGCACAACTTTAGGCTCACCCTGGGGGGAGGATGGTGAGAGCTGGATAAAGCTAGAGCAGAGGGTCTGGAGTCAGCCCCAGGAAGATCAGCTTGCAGGGAGCCCGAGAGGAACCGAGTCCGACAGGAGCAGCTAGAGAGGTGGGCGCAAGGAGGGGAGGGTGCCAGGCCCGGTCCTTCCAAGCCCAGCAGTGACCTCAGGAGAGCAGAGGTGCAAAACCAGGGAGCTGGTGAGGTTTGACGCATTCCCGGCAAGTCCGGAAGCTGCCTGGAAGGGAGGGAAGTCGGGGGAGGGATCAAAGGTAGGGGATCTAGATCTGCCCCTAGAGCCCCTCAGCCTGGTCCTCCCGCAGCTGCCTTTTCCTAGGTCTCCTCTCCCATCCACCCTCCAAACTGCCCCTATCCTTGGAGATGGCGCCCCTGGCCTCCCCCGCCCTGAGCCAGGAAGAGCCCCCCTGGACGCTGCCTCTTTCCTGCCCCCGCCCCCTAGTGGCGAGCCTTCCTGCCTGGTCTGAAGTTCGAGATCGTCGGCTCTGCCCACATCTCCCTGTACACAGGTGTGGAGCCGCACCCTTGGGGAAGGGATCACCTCTGGCAGCTGGGTCTGGATGGGAACGGGGAGGAGAGTGAAGGCCTCCCTTCTGCCCCAGATGAGTCGGCCCTGAAGATGGATCATGTGGCCCACATCCCCCAGTCTCTAGCCAGCCACGTGGGCGGCCACTTCCCACAGCAGGAGCCCAGCGTGGACATGCTGCGGCCAGACCCCAGGGACATCTTCTTCCTCAGTGAGAGGGGGCTGGAGCGGGGGCAGAGGCGGGGCGCGGGGGCTGGAGCGGGGCGCGGGGGCTGGAGCGGGGCGCGGGGGCTGGAGCGGGGGCTGAGGCGGGGCGCGGGGGCTGGAGCGGGGGCAGCCGTGGGGCGCCGGGGCTGGAGCGGGGGCAGCCGTGGGGCGCCGGGGCTGGAGCGGGGGCAGCCGTGGGGCGCGGGGGCTGGAGCGGGGGCAGCCGTGGGGCGCGGGGGCTGGAGCGGGGCGCGGGGGCTGGAGTGGGGCGCGGGGGCTGGAGCGGGGCGCGGGGGCTGGAGTGGGGCGCGGGGGCTGGAGTGGGGCGCGGGGGCTGGAGCGGGGGCTGGAGCGGGGCGCGGGGGCTGGAGTGGGGCGCGGGGGCTGGAGCGGGGGCTGAGGCGGGGCGCGGGGGCTGGAGCGGGGGCAGCCGTGGGGCGCCGGGGCTGGAGCGGGGGCAGCCGTGGGGCGCGGGGGCTGGAGCGGGGGCAGCCGTGGGGCGCCGGGGCTGGAGCGGGGGCAGCCGTGGGGCGCGGGGGCTGGAGCGGGGGCAGCCGTGGGGCGCGGGGGCTGGAGCCGGGGCAGCCGTGGGGCGCCGGGGCTGGGCGCCAGTCGGGCCACAGTAACTGCCCCTCGCAGCTCCTCGGATGGAGCCTTCCAGCCTGGAGAACGTGCTGGAGCCATGCGCCTACGCCCCGACCTACATCCTCAAGGATTTTCCCATCGCAAGATACCAGGGACTGCAGTTTGTAAGTGCCGGGCCTCCTCTGTGGGCTCCCCCGCAGCCTCAGCCCCTTCGCACACAGCTAAGCCTGCCCTGCCTCCAGGTGTACCTGTCCTTCGTCTATCCCAACGACTACACCCGCCTCACCCACATGGAGTCAGACAACAAGTGCTTCTACCGAGAGTCGCCCTTGTACCTGGAGAGGTGGGTGGGGCGGGGAGGGAGGTTCCGTCAGAAGCCAGGGCAGAGCCTGGCAGCAGGGCCTCTGATGCCTGCCCTGCCCCGCCCCGCCCCAGGTTTGGGTTCTACAAATACATGAAGATGGACAGGGAGGAGGGAGAGGATGATGAAGAGGAGATGCAGCGCCGCGCCTTCCTCTTCCTCAACCCGGATGGTAGGTGCCCCCGAGCCCGGGCGTGCCCAGCCTGCTGGCCTGTCCTGCAGCTGACTGTGCACTTCCGGCAGACTTTCTGGATGATGAAGATGACCGGGAGCTGCTGGACAGCCTGGAGCCAACAGGGGCATCTGTGGCACAGCTCGGCCGCCAGACCCCCACGCTGGTGGCCCCCACGAAGCCCAAGATGCTGACTGTGGCCACCCCCACCCCACCGACGTCCAGTTCTCTGGATGGGCAGGCCCCCAGGCATTCCCGGGCCCTAAGCTGGGCCTCCCGGCCCCTGCCCCTCTTTCTGGGCCGGGCCCCACCCCCCCACACGGCGCCCTCAAAGGTGTATGTGACGAGGGTGCGGCCGGTGCGGCCTGGGCTGCGGGCCTCCCGGAGGGCGCTGCCGGACCCCCCCTGGCCCCCTTTCCCCAGGGTCTTCCCACGCCCCAGGCCCCTGCCCAGGGTGCAGCTGCGGGCGCCACCGCGCCCCCCGCAGCCCCACCGCCGCAGGACCGCAGAGCCGAGGCCTTCGGCCCGGACGCAGGCCCCCCGGGGGGGCCGGGGGGCCCCAGTGCATGCCCGGGAACTCGCAGCGCCCGCTGCAGACGCAAACTCGTCCGCCGAGACAAAACCCGTGACCTCCTTCCTCCGCGTGGCCCAGGTGTCCAGGCCGCAGCTGCCCGGGGAGGGGGAGGAGGAGGGGGAGGACGACGGCCCCCCGGGGGAAGAGGCCACACCGGACGCCAGTGAGGAGGAGGAAGAGGCGGCGGCGCGGCCCGCGGGCCGCTGGCGGGAGGACGCCATCGACTGGCAGCGCACGTTCAGCGTGGGCACCGTGGACTTCGAGCTGCTGCGCTCGGACTGGAATGACCTGCGCTGCAACGTGTCGGGAAATCTGCAGCTGCCGGAGGCCGAGGCCGTGGACGTGGCGGCCCAGTACATGGAGCGGCTCAACGCGCGCCACGGCGGGTACGGGGGGGCTCAACGCGCGCCACGGCGGGTACGGGGGGGCTCAACGCGCGCCACGGCGGGTACGGGGGGGCTCAACGCGCGCCACGGCGAGTACGGGGACGGGCTCAAGGCGCGCCACGGCGGGTACGGGGGGGCTCAACGCGCGCCACAGCGGGTACGGGGACGGGCTCAAGGCGCGCCACGGCGGGTACGGGGACGGGCTCAACGCACGCCACGGGGGGGCTCAACGCGCGCCACGGCGGGTACGGGGGGGCTCAACGCGCGCCACGGCGGGTACGGGGGGGGGGGGGCTCAACGCGCGCCACGGCGGGTACGGGGACGGGCTCAACGCGCGCCACGGCGGGTACGGGGACGGGCTCAACGCGCGCCACGGCGGGTACGGGGAGGGGCAGCGGCCAGTGAGCACAACGGGGGGGGGGGGCAGCGGCCAGTGAGCACAACGGGGGGGGGCAGAGGCCAGTGAGCACCACGCTGGTATGGGGGGCGGGCAGCGGCTCAACACATGCTACAGGGGGTATGCGGGTGGGGCAGTGGCTGTGAGTGTCATGGTGGGATTGGGGCAGTGGCTGTGAGTGTCATGGTGGGATTGGGGGCAGTGGCTGTGAGTGTCATGGTGGGATTGGGGCAGTGGCTGTGAGTGTCATGGTGGGATTGGGGGCAGTGGCTGTGAGTGTCATGGTGGGATTGGGGGCAGTGGCTCAGTGTCATGGTGGGATTGGGGGCAGTGGCTGTGAGTGTCATGGTGGGATTGGGGCAGTGGCTGTGAGTGTCATGGTGGGATTGGGGGCAGTGGCTCAGTGTCATGGTGGGATTGGGGGCAGTGGCTGTGAGTGTCATGGTGGGATTGGGGCAGTGGCTGTGAGTGTCATGGTGGGATTGGGGCAGTGGCTCAGTGTCATGGTGGGATTGGGGGCAGTGGCTGTGAGTGTCATGGTGGGATTGGGGCAGTGGCTGTGAGTGTCATGGTGGGATTGGGGCAGTGGCTGTGAGTGTCATGGTGGGATTGGGGCAGTGGCTGTGAGTGTCATGGTGGGATTGGGGCAGTGGCTGTGAGTGTCATGGTGGGATTGGGGGCAGTGGCTCAGTGTCATGGTGGGATTGGGGGCAGTGGCTGTGAGTGTCATGGTGGGATTGGGGCAGTGGCTGTGAGTGTCATGGTGGGATTGGGGCAGTGGCTGTGAGTGTCATGGTGGGATTGGGACAGTGGCTGTGAGTGTCATGGTGGGATTGGGGGCAGTGGCTGTGAGTGTCATGGTGGGATTGGGGGCAGCGGCTCAGTGTCATGGTGGGATTGGGGGCAGCGGCTCAGTGTCATGGTGGGATTGGGGCAGTGGCTGTGAGTGTCATGGTGGGATTGGGGCAGCGGCTCAGTGTCATGGTGGGATTGGGGCAGTGGCTGTGAGTGTCATGGTGGGATTGGGGCAGTGGCTGTGAGTGTCATGGTGGGATTGGGGGCAGTGGCTGTGAGTGTCATGGTGGGATTGGGCTCAGTGGCTCAGTGTCATGGTGGGATTGGGGCAGCGGCTCAGTGTCATGGTGGGGTTGGGGGCAGTGGCTGTGAGTGTCATGGTGGGATTGGGGGCAGTGGCTGTGAGTGTCATGGTGGGATTGGGGGCAGTGGCTCAGTGTCATGGTGGGATTGGGGCAGTGGCTGTGAGTGTCATGGTGGGATTGGGGGCAGTGGCTCAGTGTCATGGTGGGATTGGGCGCAGCGGCTCAGTGTCATGGTGGGATTGAGGGCAGTGGCTCAGTGTCATGGTGGGATTGGGGCAGTGGCTGTGAGTGTCATGGTGGGATTGAGGGCAGTGGCTCAGTGTCATGGTGGGATTGGGGGCAGTGGCTGTGAGTGTCATGGTGGGATTGGGGCAGTGGCTGTGAGTGTCATGGTGGGATTGGGGCAGTGGCTGTGAGTGTCATGGTGGGATTGGGGGCAGTGGCTCAGTGTCATGGTGGGATTGGGGGCAGTGGCTCAGTGTCATGGTGGGATTGGGGGCAGTGGCTGTGTCATGGTGGGATTGGGGGCAGTGGTTGTGTCATGGTGGGATTGGGGCAGTGGCTGTGAGTGTCATGGTGGGATTGGGGCAGTGGCTGTGAGTGTCATGGTGGGATTGGGGGCAGTGGCTGTGAGTGTCATGGTGGGATTGGGGGCAGTGGCTGTGTCATGGTGGGATTGGGGCAGTGGCTGTGAGTGTCATGGTGGGATTGGGGGCAGTGGCTCAGTGTCATGGTGGGATTGGGGGCAGTGGCTCAGTGTCATGGTGGGATTGGGGGCAGTGGCTCAGTGTCATGGTGGGATTGGGGCATTGGCTGTGAGTTTCATGGTGGGATTGGGCGCAGCGGCTCAGTGTCATGGTGGGATTGGGCGCAGTGGCTCAGTGTCATGGTGGGATTGGGGCAGTGGCTGTGAGTGTCATGGTGGGATTGGGCGCAGCGGCTCAGTGTCATGGTGGGATTGGGGCAGCGGCTCAGTGTCATGGTGGGATTGGGCGCAGTGGCTGTGAGTGTCATGGTGGGATTGGGGCAGTGGCTGTGAGTGTCATGGTGGGATTGGGCGCAGCGGCTCAGTGTCATGGTGGGATTGGGGCAGTGGCTGTGAGTGTCATGGTGGGATTGGGGGCAGTGGCTGTGAGTGTCATGGTGGGATTGGGCGCAGTGGCTGTGTCATGGTGGGATTGGGGCAGCGGCTCAGTGTCATGGTGGGATTGGGGGCAGTGGCTCAGTGTCATGGTGGGATTGGGGGCAGCGGCTCAGTGTCATGGTGGGATTGGGGCAGTGGCTGTGAGTGTCATGGTGGGATTGGGCGCAGCGGCTCAGTGTCATGGTGGGATTGGGGCAGCGGCTCAGTGTCATGGTGGGATTGGGGCAGTGGCTGTGAGTGTCATGGTGGGATTGGGCGCAGCGGCTCAGTGTCATGGTGGGATTGGGGCAGCGGCTCAGTGTCATTGTGGGATTGGGCGCAGTGGCTGTGAGTGTCATGGTGGGATTGGGGCAGTGGCTGTGTCATGGTGGGATTGGGGCAGTGGCTGTGAGTGTCATGGTGGGATTGGGCGCAGCGGCTCAGTGTCATGGTGGGATTGGGGGCAGTGGCTGTGAGTGTCATGGTGGGATTGGGGCAGTGGCTGTGAGTGTCATGGTGGGATTGGGGGCAGTGGCTGTGAGTGTCATGGTGGGATTGGGCGCAGCGGCTCAGTGTCATGGTGGGATTGGGGGCAGCGGCTCAGTGTCATGGTGGGATTGGGGGCAGTGGCTGTGAGTGTCATGGTGGGATTGGGGGCAGCGGATCAGTGTTATGGTTGGATTGGGGGGCAGGGGCTCATTGAGCACCACAGGTTTAGTGGCAGCAGCTCAGCAAGCATCATGGATGGTATGGGGGCCAGGTATGGTGGGCAGCGGCCGGTCAGCACCGGGGATGGAGAGTGGGGAACACCAAAGGCTCATGAGCACCATGGGGGGGCCAACAGCTCGGGGAGCACCGTGGTCATGGGTGTCATCTGGAGAGGGCTCCAGGGACTCAGACCTTCCTGGGGACCAGCGTGCTTCTCGGGAACTCCACAGCTCTTCTCCTGTGCCCCTGCGCCTCTCCCCTGGCATGCTCCTTTCCTGCTCAAGACTGTGGCCAAGGTTTGGTGCTTCTACAGAGTCCCACCCAAGGCTGGTTCCTGGGATGCTGCACCCCCAAACCCTAAATCTGTCTCCTTGACCCAAGCTACAAGGTTTAGTGGTCAGTCTCAGGCACATGGTAGGCAGGAGCCCACTCTGGGGCCAGGTCAGCTAAGAACACCTACACCCTTCGTCTCCCTGGACATCGCTGAGGTCTTCACTATGGCTGTGAGACCAGTTCCGGGGCAGGCATGGGGCTCCTGCCCACGGGCCCTCAGACCTGCCAGGCCCAGGATCCAGCCTGTGCCCACCTCCCCCTGGGAGGCTGGAGCCCGAGGGCCTGCTGTGTGCCAAACCCGGGGGAGAGGGACAGCAGGCCAAGGTGCCAGTTGGGCAGAAGATGGACACAGCCAAGCGGGATAGACGTTCTGAGCAAGGCAGGGGTTGGGCCCTGGTGTGCACAGGTTGCCTGGCTGTGCTATCTGCTGGGTTGTGGGGAGGAAGGGTGGCCGCCTGGTTCTAGGGAGGTGGGTGGAAATTGCTGTAGCCCAAGTGGTTGGGAAAGCAGACCCGCCCTCAGTCATCAGCATCCTGCAGGCAGCTCAGTGCCCAGGCCTTTCCAAACCACCAGTGCAACTGTCCCTGCATTTGCCTGCTTGGGCCCAGAGTTTGGGTGGCCCGGAGGGGTGACCAAGAGCATTTGCATCTAAAAAACTCCACTTGTCGGGCACTGGTGGCTCACGCCTGTAATCCTAGCTACTCAGGAGGCTGAGATCTGAGGATCGCGGTTCAAAGCCAGCCCGGGCAAGAGAGACCGTGAGACTCCTATCTCCAATAAACCACCAGAAAACCGGAAGTGGCGCTGTAGCTCAAGTGGTAGAGCACTCGCCTTGAGCTGAAGAGCTGAGGGACAGCGCCCAGGCCCAGAGTTCAAGCCCCACGACCGACAAAAAAATAAAAATCTCCACTTGGGGAGACTAGGTAGTGGGGGGAGTGGGAACAGGTCGGAGGTCACAGTGGCGGGCTTCCAGGCCCACCAGTCAATGAGAGCTGGTAGGAGACTGCACAGGGTCTGGGGCAGAGCGGGAAGGCTGTGGGCAGAAGGTGGGGAAGGGACCAAAGGAAGGCAGCAGCCCCCTCTTGGGACGCTCGGAGGCGTCTCTAGGAGTGCTGGGGAGGACTGAGCAAATCTAGACAGGAATCCTCCCCCAGACAGGCGAGCGCAGAAGGCCCGGGGAGAGGGGCGCAGAGGGCCCAGGGAGAGGGGCGCAGCCGCGGGCCGCCTGGAGCTGGGGGCCCGAGCCGGTCCAGCTGCCTCCTGGTGGGGGGGAAACCGCACTGGCTGACCGCCGATTCCTGCCCCGCGCTGACCGTCCCCTCCCCCGCCGCTGACCCCTGCCCCGCGCTGACCGCACCCCGCGCTAACCCCCGCCCCGCGCTGACCGCTGACCCCCGCCCCGTGCTGACCCCCGCCCCGCGCTGACCACCCCCTCCCCCGCCGCTAACCCCCGCCCCGCGCTGACCGCTGACCCCCGCCCCGCGCTGACCGCTGACCCCCGCCCCGTGCTGACCCCCGCCCCGCGCTGACCACCCCCTCCCCCGCCGCTAACCCCCGCCCCGCGCTGACCCCCGCCCCGCGCTGACCGCTGACCCCCGCCCCGCGCTGACCGCGCCCCGCCCGCCCCGCAGGCGCTTCGCGCTGCTGCGCATCGTGAACGTGGAGAAGCGGCGCGACTCTGCGCGCGGGAGCCGCTTCCTGCTGGAGCTGGAGCTGCAGGAGCGCGGCGGCGGCCGCCTGCGCCTGTCCGAGTACGTCTTCCTGCGGCTGCCGGGCGCGCGGGCCGGGGACGCGGACGCGGACAGCCCCGAGCCCCCCGCGGCCGCCGCCTCGCGCCGCCCCGACGCCGAGCTCTGCCGGCCGCTGCGCCTGGCGTGGCGCCAGGACGTCATGGTGCACTTCATCGTGCCAGGTACGGGCGGGGGGGGGTCGGCATGCGCCAGGTACGGGGGGGGGGTCGGCACGCGCCAGGTACGGGCGGGGGGGGGGGGTCGGCACGCGCCAGGTCCCCGGCGGGGGGGGGAGGGGTCGGCACGCGCCAGGTCCCCGGCGGGGTGCCCCAGTGCGGGGGTCGGGGGGAGGGGGTCGGCACGCGCCAGGTCCCCGGCGGGGGGGGGGGGTCGGCACGCGCCAGGTCCCGGGGGGGGGGGGGGGTCGGCACGCGCCAGGTCCCCGGCGGGGTGCCCCAGTGCGGGGGTCGGGGGGAGGGGGTCGGCACGCGCCAGGTCCCCGGCGGGGTGCCCCAGTGCGGGGGGGCGGGGTGCCCCGGCGCGGGCCGGGCAGGGTGGCCGGAGGAGGGCACCCCCCCCAGCCGCCAGCCCGTCCCGCGTCCCTCTTCCAGTGAAGAACCAGGCGCGCTGGGTGGCACAGTTCCTGGCGGACATGGTGGCGCTGCACGCGCGCACCGGAGACTCGCACTTCAGCGTCATCCTGGTGGACTTCGAGAGCGAGGACATGGACGTGGAGCGGGCCCTGCGCGGGGCGCGCCTGCCCCGGTACGAGGCGCCCGGTGCGCTTCCCCCCTGCGAGGCGCCCCCTGCCCCGGCTCCAGCATGGCCACCAGCGGCTCCTTTAACCCCCCCCAGGTACCAGTACCTGAGACGCACTGGAAACTTCGAGCGCTCGGCGGGGCTGCAGGCCGGAGTGGACGCGGTGGAGGTCTGTGGCGGGGTCAGGCCCGGCGCAGGGCGGGCAGGGGAGGGTGGGGAGGGCAGGATGGCCCACTCAGACCTCTGGACCCCCAGGACCCCAGCAGCATCGTCTTCCTCTGTGACCTGCACATCCACTTCCCTCTCAACATCCTGGACAGCATCCGGAAGCACTGCGTGGAGGGCAAGCTGGCCTTCGCCCCCGTGGTCATGCGCCTGGGCTGCGGGAGCTCACCGGGCAACCCACACGGCAAGTCCCCGAATGACCCCCCAGGCCAGCACCCCACTGCTCACCAGCCTGGTCCTGGCGCCCAGGGCTTCTCCCAGCCTTCAGAGTGGGCCTCGAACCCACGGTTCCAGAAACCCAGGATCTGAGCCGTAAGACCACCCCATCCGGTGCTGTGCGCCTGGCTGAGAGCCCCAGCCCCACCCCTTCCTGAGGTCTCCGGAGACCCCCACCCCACCCCCACCCCATCTGAAAGCGGCCCCTCCACACCAGGTTACTGGGAGGTGAATGGCTTTGGCCTCTTTGGGATCTACAAATCGGATTTTGACCGCGTGGGAGGCATGAACACGGAGGAGTTCCGGGACCAGTGGGGGGGCGAGGACTGGGAGCTGCTGGACCGGTGCGTGTGCCGACCCCATGCCACGGGGACCACTCCCCCCGCTGCCAAGCTCTGCAGGGCCAGAGAGCCCCACAGTCCCCTGCTGCATGCTGCCCTGAGCCCCAGGTCCTGGGGGGGGGACCCAGCCAGCTGATGTCCCTCCCCCCACCCCAGGGTCCTGCGGGGTGGGGGGAGACCCAGCCAAGCTGACATTCCTCCCACCCCACCCCAGGGTCCTGCAGGCAGGGCTGGAGGTGGAGCGACTGAGGCTGAGGAACTTCTACCATCATTATCATTCCAAGCGGGGTATGTGGGGCACCCGGAGTCGCAAGAGCTCCCGTGTGGAGCGGTCCTGAGGCTGGAGGACCTGCCCGGCATGCTGAAGCAGAGGTGGCGGCCGCGGATGCTCAGCTCCAGGATCCGCCCCACGTGGCTCATGGCCTGGCTGCCACCTCGGTCCCACACTGCACAATGATTTCTGTGAAATTTTCTGTAGCAATGACCTTGTTTTCAGGATTTCCAAGAGTTCTGTCTGTTCTGTTTTTTATTCAGAATGAAATGAAATATTTTTTTTAGTTCTGACTTATTCTCTGTGGCTGTTCTCTTGGGAGGCAGAGCCCTGGCCTGGGAGTGGCTCAGGGCACCGAGCCTGAGCCTTGCTCAGCACCTCTCCCTGTCCTTCCTCACCCCCCACCCCCGCTTCCGTCCGTTCTTAGCTCCTGGCATTTCTTCCTCTCCACCCAGTGCCCAAGGAGTCCCAACATTCAGAAAAGACAACTCAGGAGGACGTCCCATGGGTCCAGTGCTGGCCAGCAGATGGCAGACATACAGTTGAGCTCCCACGTCAGAAGACAAGCATCCACAGGACAGAGATACTGGACCTCCACAGACCACACACAGCCCACCATGATAGTGACACCACACCTCCACAGACCACACACAGCCCACCATGATAGTGACACCACACCTCCACACACCACACACAGCCCACCATGATAGTGACACCACACCTCCACACACCACACACAGCCCACCATGATAGTGACACCACACCTCCACAGACCACACACAGCCCACCATGATAGTGACACCACACCTCCACACACCACACACAGACCCCAGATGCCCACACGGTCTTTTCGTATGTGAAAAGTCCTATCAGGAAAATCGTCCTCCCTCATGGATGTTGCAAAGCGTGAAAAGCAGCACTGGATTTAATATTAGACAAAGCTCCTGTGTAAGAAGAGGTGGAGGAAGGGGACTGGGTGAACAGTGGCCTCACCAGCCAGAGGCTTTCAGATAAGCGTCTATGTAATGTGGGCTGTATGCACACCAGGGCTTACTAATCCATGACAGTGAGTTGTTTAATGAGAACCCACAGGTGTCTCCATCCTGGCCTGGGTAGGATGTTCACCCCACAGACACCTGAACACAATGTCTACAGTCAGCTAGTCCAAGTGCTATGGAGAAAAATAAAGCTAGAGAAACAGAGTGGTGAATTCAGTGAGCAGAGTGGTCAGGAGAAGCATGCTGGAGAAGAATGTACAAGCTGGGGCAATGTCCATTTGGAGGAAAATTTTAAAATCAATGATGAGAGAAATGGAAAGAAAAGTTACTGACAAGCTCACACCTGTAATCCTAGCCACCCAGGAAGCTGAAGTTGGATTGAAGTTCCAAAGTACCCTTATCTTTAACCAGAAAAAAGCTGGAAGTAAAGGTGTGGCTCCAGCCAAGCAAGAGTGAAAAGCACTTAGTTCAAGCTCTGTACTGGCACAAAACATGAGTAAAAATAATTTTTAAGTTATTGACAACAAAGTGGGATAGAAAAAAAAACCTTGCTACTTTAGCAATCTCAAAAAAAAAAAAACAAAAAACTGTTGTTTGAAAACCCAGTCAGGGACACCGGAGACAGACTAGAAAAAGCACAGCAGATGAAATGGAAAAGCATGCATACAAAGAACCCTTGGACAGACAACGGAAGACAAAGCATCCATCGAGAAGACAGAGCTGGGCACCAGGGGCTCACGCCTGTCATCCTACCTACTCGGGAAGCTGAGATCTGAGATCTCAGTTCAAAGCCAGTCTGAGCAGGAAAAGTCCATGAGACTCCTATCTCCAATAAACCACCAGAAAACCAGAAGTGGCGCTGTGGCTCAAGTGGAAGAGCGCTAGCCTTGAGCTGAAGAGCTGAGGAACAGCGCCCAGGCCCAGAGTTCAGGCCCCACAACCAGACCCCCCAAAAAATAAATAAAATAAAAAATAACCAATGCTGGAGCTGGAGCTGGAAAGGTGGCTCAGTGGTAGAGTGCTTGCCTAGCATGCATGAGGCCTTAGGTTCAATCCTGTAGCACCACATAAACAAAAAAGCCAGAAGTGCTGTTGTAGCTCAAATGGTAGAGCGCTAGCCTTGAGCACAAGAAGCTCAGGGACAGCACCCAGGCCCTGAGTTCAAGCCCCAGGACTGGCAAAAAAAAAAAAAGACTAACACATGCAAATGAGGTCACTGGCTCAGCAAAATCAGGAAAGACTAAGGCTTGGCACTTAGGGGAGATGCCCCAGGTGGGGCCTCAGGCTTAGAAAGAGGGCTCTGAGGGCCCCAGGCCCCCCAGCGCCAGCTCCCAGCCCACCCCGCTGGGCTGCTAGGCAGGGTCAGAAATATCTCTAGGTGCCCTAGTTCACTTTGAAACTTATGGAAGTTGTTTAACCATGTGGAGCTTCCGTTTCCCCACTGCAAAATCGACTCTCTAGAGATGTTCTTGTTGGGACAGCATCGGCCTGCACTCCGGGATAACTCACGGCCATGCTGCTCCCTGTCCCTGCCACCACCTGCTGCCACTCCTTACAGAGAGGCTGATACCCAGTCCACCATCTCCCCAAATCAATAAACAACCTTCAGGCCCCCGCCAGCCCCCCGCCCTCTCCGCTGGGCAGGGTATCCAGGCTCCAGCCCTTTGCTCTCTCAGGCCCCTCAGGGGGGCTGGGGGCTGCAACAAAGCCTGTCACGCACACCTTGTCCAGAGCATGCCCAGTGCACACAGGAGGGGCCCGTGAAGTCCCCACCGGCCCGTGTGGACCCCCAGAGGGGCTGATAGGTAGGGGACCGACAACAGTACCATGCCCTCAGCTACCAGGGAGGCCACAAAGGCCGGGCCGAGCACCTGTAGGCCCAGGATCAGGGAAGAAAAGCCACAAGACAATAGGGCAACACTGAGTGGGGTCCAGTGCAGTGGGCCTTGGGCTGGGTTCTGCGGAGCTCCGTCCACTGGACTTGCCCGGCACTGGGCTGCAGGCTTCTGGGGCCTCCAGCCGCATGGCTGCGTGACCAGAGATGAGCCCTTCACCTCAGTGTGCACCCGTGCTTTGTACGTTGTGTTTCTGAAAATTACTTGGCAGGGGCTGGGAAGGTGGCTCAGCAGTTGAGCGCTCGCCTCCCATGCATGGGGCCCTGGGATCGATTCTTCAGCACCACATAAGGAGAAAAAGCCAGAAGAGTCGCTGTGGTTCAAGTGGTAGAGCGCTTGCCTTGAGCTGAATTGCTGAGGGACAGCGCCCAGGCCCCAAGTTCAAGTCCCACAACCAACAACAGAAAAAAGAAAAAAAAGTACTTGGCATTCACATCCTCCACCTTCCCCAGATCCCCAGCTTTCTGCATCTCAATATACTCCTGGCACACCTCCCGTCCCATACCCTTCCTGGACTCCTGACCTTCCAGACCCAAAGGCTTGCCCTCTGTGCCTCTCCCTCCAACACACACCACACACAGGGGCATGCATGCACACGCGTGCACGCGCACACGCACACACGCATGGAAAGAGCCTTCCTTCTCCCTAGCCAAGGGAGTGATCTCACCCCCCAGCCTCAGTGATCCCCACACCCAACTCCTCTGCCAGGTGACGACCACCGTAGGGCACCCTGGGAGCCCCGTGCACTCACGGTGTGGACCCTGGGCTCCTCGGATGAGGGTGTGCAGGACTTAGCCCACCTCCGGCTTTCTAAGCCCCGGCCAGAGGCTGGGTTTGCCTCTCAGCTGTGTTCCCCGGCTCACAGCAGCTCCTGGGAGAGGGCCCTGGAGTCTGATGCAGACCCCAGCCCCGAGCCGAGAGCCTGGGGAACCAGCCCCGGAGGGCAGCTGGAGGAAGCCCCGCATGTCAGGGTTTCCGGGGCCCGCCCCACGTGCTGCGGCCTTGCACCTGGGCCCTCCTGCGGCCTCGGCCCTCAGCCTGGCCTGGCTTCCCGGGGCTCAGGCAGGGCGGGCCCCAACTGCGCCAGGCGTGCGCCTCTAGGCCCATCAGCGCCGCACAAACTTGTCTCCCGGGATTTTTCCACACAAAACACGTCTCCCAAGGAAGCAACCGGTCTGATGAGCTGGGTGTGCGGCGTGCGCACCCCGCCCTCCGGTGCCCCCACAGAGGTGTCTCCAGGCAGAGGCTGCCCACAAGAGCGAGGCCCAGGATGGAACCCCGGATTCCTCGGCCAGTGGCAGCGGCCCCGGGGACGCACCGGGAGTCTGGCAGGATCCGGAGAATCAGCCAGGTAGGGCACCCAGCCCGCCCCCACCCTCCCAGGGGCCCGAACACACCTTTCACCTTTCCAGGTCCCTCTCTGCTAACCCCCACTGAGCTGCTGACCCCCTCTAGCCCTCCCTTCTCCTGACTCCCCCGTCCCTCCCTCCTCCTGACTCCCCCCTCCCCCCTCCGTCTTCCTAACCCCCCTCCAGCCCCCCTCCTCCTCCTCCTGACTCCCCTCCAGCCCTCCTCCTCCCGACTCCCACCCTCTGTCCCTCCCTCCTAAATGCCCACTCTCCCACCCCCTTCTCCTAACCCTCCTCTCCAGCCCCCCTCCTCCTGACTGTCCCCTCCAGCCCTCCCTCCTCCTGACCCCCACCCTCCAGCCCTCTTCCTCCTGACCCTTCATGTCAAGCCCTCCCTCCTCCTGACCCTTCACCCTCCAGCCCTCTTCCTCCTGACCCTTCATGTCAAGCCCTCCCTCCTCCTGACCCTTCACCCTCCAGCCCCCCTCCTCCTGACTGTCCCCTCCAGCCCTCCCTCCTCCTGACCCCCACCCTCCAGCCCTCTTCCTCCTGACCCTTCATGTCAAGCCCTCCCTCCTCCTGACCCTTCACCCTCCAGCCCCCCTCCTCCTGACTGTCCCCTCCAGCCCTCCCTCCTCCTGACCCCCACCCTCCAGCCCTCTTCCTCCTGACCCTTCATGTCAAGCCCTCCCTCCTCCTGACCCTTCACCCTCCAGCCCTCCCTCCTCCTGACCCCCACCCTCCAGCCCTCCCTCCTCCTGACCCCCACCCTCCAGTCCCCCTCCTCCTGACCTTTCACTCTCCAGTCCTCCCACCTCCTGGCTGCCCACTCTCCAACCCCTTCCTCCTGGCTGCCCACCCTCCAACCCCTTCCTCCTAGCTGCCCACCCTCCAGCCCACTCCTGGCTGCCCACCCTCCAGCCCCCTCCTCCTGGCTGCCTACCCTCCAGCCCCCTCCTCCTGGCTGCCCACCCTCTAACCCCCTCCTCCTGGATGCCCACCCTCCAGTCCTCCCACCTCCTGGCTGCCCACCCTCCAGCCCCCTCCTCCTGGCTGCCCACCCTCCAGCCCCCTCCTCCTGGCTGGCCACATGACCCTCACTCTGAGTCTCATCACACCCCAGACCTCTGCCCTCAGCCACTCAACCTTAAGACAAACGTCTCCAGGACACCAGGACTGGGACATAGGCCTGCCATGGGAAAGAGCCCTCAGAGTCTAGAAAGAGGCGGGGGCGGTGGGGATGGCAGCCCCGGAGTCAGAGGAGCACGGGGGCCGGTTGAGACACCAGCTCCAGCTCCATCTAACAAGGAACTGTGCTGGATGCCAGGCCTGACCCAGAGCTCCTCAGAGTATGCCGGTCCCCCAAACTGCAATGTTTGGAAGCTCCTAGGACCAAGCTCGATACCCCCTGCAGCCTTCCCACCTCTCCTTCCGCCCCTGCCCCCACCCCAGCCCTCAGCACACCCTCCCTCCTGCCCCCCCCCCTGCCCAGCAGGTGCCAACATGAGCCCTGTCCCCTGAGTCAACCCCCTGGGGCGCCTGGCCTGCCCGCCCTGACTCATGTGTTGGGAACGGGCCTCCCACCCCAGGCCTGGCTGAGCCAGGGAGAGGTGCCAGGGAGGGAGCCGGGGCCCTTCCGAGGACCAGACCAAGCTTCCAACCCTCCCACCCTCCTCCAAACTCTGTCCTGAGCTCTGGATTCAGCCAATAACCGTTCCTGGATGCCACCAGGCTAGGGTGTTGGAGGACCCCAGCAGCTCCTTACCACACTGACTCCACGAGCCCTGGGCTGGCTTTTTTAATCTGAGAACTGATAGGGCCCGGACCCCTGGGGTCCAGTCCTGGCTTGGGAGAAGAGTCAGACGCCAGGCCAGGGGAGCACAGGGCCTGTTCTTCCGCCCAAATTCCACCTTAAGCAGGCAGAGGCCCGTCCCTCCCACCTGGCCCAGGTGTCCCCGCCCCCAGAAGAGCTCTGGGCTGGGCGGGCCAGCGTCTGTCTCCAGGCCAGCTCTGAGCGCCAGCAGGGAGGGGACTTCTGGGACAGGGCCTCAAGGGACAGGACCAGGAAGGGGCCAAGCAGGCCAGCCAGGTGCTCCTGCCACCATGCAGGATAGTAACTTCCTGCTGTCCGCCCTGCAGCCCGAGGCCGGTGTGTGTTCCCTGGCCCTGCCCTCCGACCTGCAGCTGGACCGCCGGGGTGCTGAGGGGCCCGAGGTGGAGCGGCTGAGGGCAGCCCGAGTCCAGGAGCAGGTCCGAGCCCGCCTCCTGCAGCTGGGCCAGCAGCCGAAGCACAACCACAATGGGGCAGCCGAGCCCGAGGGCTTCGCTGAGGTCGCCCGAGGTAGGCCGGGCTGGCAAAGGCGGGCCGGAGGAGGAGACGGCAGTGGGGACGGGGACAGAGGCAGTGGACAGAGATGGCCGGCGGGGGTGTGGTGGTGTCGGGGCAGAGGCCGCCCGGGCTCCAGGGTTCAGCCATTGACTCACTGAGGCCTTCTCTGAGTCACCACCCCGCCCTAGCAGGAGGGCGTGGGCGTGGGGCTCGGACCCGGGAAAGCGGCCACGGGCAAGGTAGGGCTCCACTTCTGGTGGGCCCAGGGGTGGAGCCCCCACCTTCTGGGCCTCCCCACCCTCCTCATGGGAAGGATGGGGGAAGGCTGTCCCCTGTGGAACAGGCCAGGCCCATCTGTCTGCAAACCCGGAACTCACACCAGGGAACACAGGCCGAAGTGAATGGGACAGGAGCTGGGAGAGGGGAGCCCGGAAATCCCCGACAGAGCCAGGGCCTGTCTGGACCCAGGGCTCCCTGAGGACTTGCAGGCCCAGCCTGCCAGGAGTGACCCAGATATTCTCCGTGAGAACAGCCAGTGGGGGTGTGGACGCCCCTCAGTGAACCCGAGCCACCCGGGCACTTGGGGGTGAGATGGAGTGTGTAGTGTATGTGTGGTATGTGTGAAGTGAACGTGTGTATGAGTGTGTCTGTGCTGTGTCTGTTATGTGAGTGTATGTGAGTGTCTGGGTGGTGTGTGTGGTTCATGTGTATGTGCAGGGTGTGTGCATGTGTGTGTGGGGAGATTGTATGTGAGAGTGTCTGGGTGGTGTGTGTGGTATGTGTATGTGCAGGGTGTGTGCATGTGTCTGGGTGGTGTGTGTGTGTGAACTATGTGCAGGGTCTGTGCATGTGTCTGGGTGGTGTGTGTGTGAGTGTATGTGCGGGGTGTGTCCATGTGTGTCTGGGTGGTGTGTGTGTGAGTGTATGTGCGGGGTGTGTGCATGTGTGTCTGGGTGGTGTGTGTGTGAGTGTATGTGTGGGGTGTGTCCATGTGTGTCTGGGTGGTATGTGTGTGTGTATGTATGTGCGGGGTGTGTGCATGTGTGTCTGGGTGGTGTGTGTGTGAATGTATGTGTGGGGTGTGTGCATGTGTGTCTGGGTGGTGTGTGTGTGAGTGTATGTGCGGGGTGTGTGCATGTGTGTCTGGGTGGTGTGTGTGTGAATGTGTGGGGTGTGTGCATGTGTGTCTGGGTGGTGTGTGTGAATGTATGTGCGGGGTCTGTGCATGTGTCTGGGTGGTGTGTGTGTGTGAATGTGCAGGGTGTGTGCATGTGTGTCTGGGTGGTGTGTGTGAATGTATGTGTGGGGTCTGTGCATGTGTGTCTGGGTGGTGTGTGTGTGTGTGTGAATGTGCATGTGTCTGGGTGGTGTGTGTGTGTGTGTATGTGCACAGTGTGTGCATGTGTGTCTGGGTGGTTTGTGTGTGAATGTGTGGGGTCTGTGCATGTGTGTCTGGGTGGTGTGTGTGAATGTATGTGCGGGATCTGTGCATGTGTCTGGGTGGTGTGTGTGTGTGAATGTATGTGCGGGGTCTGTGCATGTGTCTGGGTGGTGTGTGTGTGTGAATGTGCAGGGTGTGTGCATGTGTCTGGGTGGTGTGTGTGTGAATGTATGTGCGGGGTCTGTGTATGTGTGTCTGGGTGGTGTGTGTGTGTGAATGTATGTGCGGGGTGTGTGCATGTGTGTCTGGGTGGTGTGTGTGTGTGTGAATATATGTGCGGGGTGTGTGCATGTGTGTCTGGGTGGTGTGTGTGTGTGTGAATGTATGTGTGGGGTGTGTACATGTGTGTCTGGGTGGTGTGTGTATATGTATGTGCGGGGTGTGTGCATGTGTGTCTGGGTGGTGTGTGTGTGAGTGTATGTTCAGGGTGTGTCCATGTGTGTCTGGGTGGTGTGTGTGTGTGAATGTATGTGCAGGGTGTGTGCATGTGTGTCTGGGTGGTGTGTGTGTGTGAATGTATGTGCGGGGTCTGTGCATGTGTCTGGGTGGTGTGTGTGAGTGAATGTATGTGCAGGGTGTGTGCATGTGTGTCTGGGTGGTGTGTGTGTGAATGTGTGGGGTCTGTGCATGTGTCTGGGTGGTGTGTGTGTGTGAATGTATGTGCGGGGTGTGTGCATGTGTCTGGGTGGTGTGTGTGTGTGAATGTGTGGGGTCTGTGCATGTGTGTCTGGGTGGTGTGTGTGAATGTATGTGCGGGGTCTGTGCATGTGTCTGGGTGGTATGTGTGTGTGAATGTATGTGCAGGGTCTGTGCATGTGTCTGGGTGGTGTGTGTGAATGTATGTGCGGGGTGTGTGCATGTGTGTCTGGGTGGTGTGTGTGAATGTATTGCAGGGTCTGCATGTGTCTGGGTGGTGTGTGTGTGTGAATGTATGTGCGGGGTGTGTGCATGTGTGTCTGGGTGGTGTGTGTGTATGTATGTGCGGGATGTGTACATGTGTGTCTGGGTGGTGTGTGTGTGAACGTATGTGCGGGGTGTGTGCATGTGTGTCTGGGTGGTATGTGTGTGTGAATGTATGTGTGGGATCTGTGCATGTGTGTCTGGGTGGTGTGTGTGTGTGAATGTATGTGCAGGGTGTGTGCATGTGTGTCTGGGTGGTGTGTGTATGTGCGGGGTCTGTGCATGTGTCTGGGTGGTGTGTGTGTGTGAATGTATGTGCGGGGTGTGTACATGTGTGTCTGGGTGGTGTGTGTGAATGTATGTGCGGGATCTGTGCTTGTGTGTCTGGGTGGTGTGTGTGTGTGAATGTATGTGTGGGGTCTGTGCATGTGTGTCTGGGTGGTGTGTGTGTGTGAATGTATGTGCAGGCTCTGTGCATGTGTCTGGGTGGTGTGTGTGTGTGAATGTATGTGCAAGTGTGTGCATGTGTGTCTGGGTAGTGTGTGTGTGTGAATGTATGTGCGGGGTCTGTGCATGTGTCTGGGTGGTGTGTGTGTGTGAATGTATGTGCGGGGTGTGTGCATGTGTGTCTGGGTGGTGTGTGTGTGAATGTGTGGGGTCTGTGCATGTGTGTCTGGGTGGTGTGTGTGAATGTATGTGCAGGGTCTGTGCATGTGTCTGGGTGATATGTGTGTGTGAATGTATGTGCAGGGTCTGTGCATGTGTCTGGGTGGTGTGTGTGAATGTATGTGCGGGGTGTGTGCATGTGTGTCTGGGTGGTATGTGTGTGTGAATGTATGTGTGGGATCTGTGCATGTGTGTCTGGGTGGTGTGTGTGTGTGAATGTATGTGCAGGGTGTGTGCATGTGTGTCTGGGTGGTGTGTGTATGTGCGGGGTCTGTGCATGTGTCTGGGTGGTGTGTGTGTGTGAATGTATGTGCGGGGTGTGTACATGTATGTCTGGGTGGTGTGTGTGAATGTATGTGCGGGATCTGTGCTTGTGTGTCTGGGTGGTGTGTGTGTGTGAATGTATGTGTGGGGTCTGTGCATGTGTGTCTGGGTGGTGTGTGTGTGAATGTATGTGCAGGGTCTGTGCATGTGTCTGGGTGGTGTGTGTGTGAATGTATGTGCAAGGTGTGTGCATGTGTGTCTGGGTGGTGTGTGTATATGTATGTGTGGGGTGTGTGCATGTGTGTCTGGGTGGTGTGTGTGAATGTATGTGCGGGGGGTGTGCATGTGTGTCTGGGTGTGTGTGTGAATGTATGTGCGGGGTGTGTGCATGTGTATCTGAGTGGTGTGTGTGAATGTATGTGTGGGATCTGTGCATGTGTCTGGGTGGTGTGTGTGTGTATGTGCAGGGTGTGTGCATGTGTCTGGGTGGTGTGTGTGTGAATGTATTGCGGGGTCTGTGTATGTGTGTCTGGGTGGTGTGTGTGTGTGAATGTATGTGCGGGGTGTGTGCATGTGTGCCTGGGTGGTGTGTGTGTGTGAATGTATGTGCAGGGTCTGTGCATGTGTCTGGGTGGTGTGTGTGTGTATGTGCAGGGTGTGTGCATGTGTCTGGGTAGTGTGTGTGTGAATGTATGTGCGGGGTGTGTGTATGTGTGTCTGGGTGGTGTGTGTGTGTGAATGTATGTGCAGGGTGTGTGCATGTGTGTCTGGGTGGTGTGTGTGTGTGAATGTATGTGCAGGGTGTGTGCATGTGTGTCTGGGTGGTATGTGTGTGTGAATGTATGTGTGGGGTGTGTGCATGTGTGTCTGGGTGGTGTGTGTGTGTGAATGTATGTGCGGGGTGTGTGCATGTGTGTCTGGGTGGTGTGTGTGTGTGTGAATGTATGTGTGGGGTGTGTGCATGTGTGTCTGGGTGGTGTGTGTTTGAATGTATGTGCGGGGTGTGTACATGTGTGTCTGGGTGGTGTGTGTGAATGTATGTGCGGGGTGTGTGCATGTGTGTCTGGGTGGTGTGTGTGTGAATGTATGTGCGGGGTCTGTGCATGTGCCTGGGTAGTGTGTGTGTGTGAATGTATGTGCGGGGTGTGTGCATGTGTGTCTGGGTGGTGTGTGTGTATGCATGTGCGGGGTCTGTGCATGTGTGTCTGGGTGGTGTGTGTGAATGTATGTGCAGGGTGTGTGCATGTGTGTCTGGGTGGTGTGTGTGAATGTATGTGCAGGGTGTGTGCATGTGTGTCTGGGTGGTGTGTATGTATGTGCGGGGTCTGTGCATGTGTCTGGGTGGTGTGTGTGTGAATGTATGTGCGGGGTCTGTGCATGTGTGGAGTGTAACTGTGTGTGGGTGTGTGTTAGGAAGTCACTCGAACATGCTGAGATTAGGACACTTCCTCTCTAGTCCATCTACAACAGCAAGGATTCAAGTCAGACAGTAAGACAAACCTCTGGTCAGAAGTCACCATGGTTCACATGCTTAGGAAGGCTCCCAGAACTGACCCCGTGACGGCTGTCCAGAGGGGCCGGCCAGGGTGGCTACTGCCTGCTGCGGGCCCTGGCCTTGCTGGACCAGAGCCGTACCAGGGGTCATGGGGGGGAGGGGAGGGAGGACTAATTGCCACCTGGCCACCCTGCCAATTAGGGGAGGAGAACAGTAATTTGGGGGTGGGCGTCAGGCCCCCAGGCTGGGGTGTGCCCCAGGCTGTCCTCCCTGGCGTCAAGAGTTAACAAAGCCTCATTAACCTGGGTAGATCTGGGGAGCTCCTTGGTGGGGCACCCCAGACCATCCAGCGGGGGTGGGGTGTGGAGAAGCCAAGGTGGACTTCCCACGCGTTCCTGACCCTTCAGCCCTTGAGCCAGCAGCTCTAGTCAAGGAGCCCCTCCCACAAGCAGAGTCCCCGCAGAGACGAGCCAGGAGGGAAGCTGGCTTCCTGGGCTTTCGCTACTCACCACGTGACCACCACCTGCCCGCCCCTCCACCTCCTATCCACTGCCCACCGTCCATCCACCTATTCCGGGGCCTCACCAGCCCTCTTCCCCGCCCACACCCCTTCCACCACTCGCGGAGCCAGGCTGCCGCCGCCCGGCTGAGGTGGGGCTGGATGGGGCGGGTGTGGTCCCGCCTCAGGCTCTGTCACCGTCCATCAGGGCAGACTGGTCCAGGAAGACTACCTCCTGGGTCGGCACAAGAGCTCTCCCGGCAGCCAGGGCTCAGCCTGGGTCTGGGCACAGGAGGCGCTCCAAGGGAATGAGTGTGGCTTGGGGCAGTCCGGGCTGGCTCCCTGGTGAAGGGGGCTGTGTGCCCTGTCCTGGCAGAGACTGGACAGCGGGCGGAGACCCTGGAGCGCTCCCCAGGCAGCCTCGAGGTCAGTGGGGCCGGTGCCCTGACGCCTCAGGCAGAGGCACAGCCGCTCCACAGCGGCTGTGGAAGGACAGAGGTGGCGGTGAGGCTGGACACCATTTCCAATGCCCACTTGGCCCTGGGGCTGAGGCCACTCTCAGGGACAGAGACAGCGGGCAGAGGGAGGCCGGAGGCCGGTGCACAGCTGACCGGCCAGGCCGGCTTCCCCCGCCCTGTCTGCAGGTCCGTCCAGGAGCCAGGACCCCACCCCGCAGGCCGGCTTCAGCTCCCGTTCCCAGGGTCTGGGTGGCCACAAGCCCGCGGTGAGTGCCGGGGGGGTCGGGGCGTCGGGGCGTCTCGGCTGCAGCGAGGGTGGGCGGGTTCCCGGACACCTGCTCACCGCGCTCTTCTTCCACAGACCTTCAGGCCCATCGCCAAGCCGGCCTACAGCCCAGCCTCCTGGTCCTCCCGCTCGGCTGTAGACCTGAGCTGCGGTCGGAGGCTGAGCTCTGCCCACAACGGGGGCGGGGCCTTTGGGGCTGCGGGGTATGGGGGCATCCAGCCCGGCGCGCCCATGGCCGTGCGGCCCGTGTCCTTCCACGAGCGCGGCGGGGCGGGCGGCCGGGCTGACTACGACACGCTGTCCCTGCGCTCACTGCGGCTGGGCCCCAGCGCGCTGGATGACCGCTACAGCGTGGTGTCGGAGCAGCTGGAGCCCGCGGCCCCCTCCACCTACCGCGCCTTTGCCTACGAGCGCCAGGCCAGCTGCGGCTCGAGCAGGGCGGGGGGCACGGACTGGCCGGAGGGCCCCGAGGGGCCCCCCGGCCGGACCATCCGCGCCCCTGCCATGCGCACCCTGCAGCGCTTCCAGAGCAGCCACAGGGGCCGCGGAGGGGCCGGGGCGGTGCCGGGGACCGGCCTGGAGCCCGTGGCCCGGGCCCCGTCCGTGCGCAGCCTCAGCCTCAGCCTGGCGGACTCCGGCCACCTGCCAGACGTGCATGGGCTGGACAGCTACGCCGGCCACCGCACCCTGCAGAGGCTCAGCAGCGGGTGAGCGGCCGGGCGAGGGAGGGGGCGTGCTCCCCAGCCCGGCCCAGGCAGGTCAGCCTGACCCCCGACCCTGGTTCTGCAGCTTTGATGACCTCGACCTGCCCTCTGCAGTCAAGTACCTCATGGCTGCAGACCCCAACCTGCAGGTGCTCGGGGCGGCCTACATCCAGCACAGGTGCTACAGCGACACGGCAGCCAAGAAGCAGGTGACTGTCCACCCCACAGGCCACCCGCTGCCCCTCAGGGGGGACTGACCACCCCGCCGGCCACCCGCCGCCCCTCAGGGGGGACTGATCACCCTACCGGCCACCCGCCGCCCCTCAGGGGGGACTGACCACCCCGCCGGCCACCCACTGCCCCTCAGTGAGACTGACCATACCGCCGGCCACCCACTGCCCCTCAGTGAGACTGACCACCCCGCTGCCCCTCAGACTGTCCACCCCACCGGCCACCCACTGCCCCTCAGTGAGACTGACCACCCCGCAGGCCACCCACTGCCCCTCAGGGGGGACTGACCACCCCGCAGGCCACCCGCTGCCCCTCAGTGAGACTGACCCTGACCACCCCGCCGGCCACCCACTGCCCCTCAGTGAGACTGACCACCCTGCTGGCCACCCACTGCCCCTCAGTGGGGCTGACCACCCCGCCAGCCACCAGCTGCCCCTCAGTGAGACTGACCACCCTGCTGGCTACCTGCCACCCCTCAGTGGGGCTGACCACCCCGCCGGCCACCCGCTGCCCCTCAGTGAGATCCCTGATCACCACCGCCCATGCTGGCCTCCAGTGCCTTACTCTCCTTACTCTCCGTGCTGACCTCCAGGCTGACTGGACACACTCTCCCTGTCCTGGGCCTCCTCAGCAGAGAAGAGTCAGGGAGCACCTGCCCACCTCTGTCATTTCCACACACCCACACCATCGTCACACAACACAGCACACACGTGTGCATCACGCTGCACATGCCTGCATCACCTACGCGCACTTGCACCCCACTACACGCGCACAGACCCCCACCCATCCCCGCACACACGCACAGACCCCCACCCATCCCCGCACACGCGCAGACCCCCACCCATCCCCGCACACGCGCGCAGACCGCCACCCATCCCCGCACACGCGCGCAGACCCCCACCCATCCCCGCACACGCGCGCAGACCCCCACCCATCCCCGCACACGCGCGCAGACCCCCACCCATCCCCGCACACGCGCGTGCAGACCCCCACCCATCCCCGCACACGCGCGCGCAGACCCCCACCCATCCCCGCACACGCGCAGACCCCCACCCATCCCCGCACACGCGCGCAGACCCCCACCCATCCCCGCACACGCGCGCAGACCCCCACCCATCCCCGCACACGCGCGCAGACCCCCACCCATCCCCGCACACGCGCGCAGACCCCCACCCATCCCCGCACACGCGCGCAGACCCCCACCCATCCCCGCACACGCGCGCGCAGACCCCCACCCATCCCCGCACACGCACGCATAGACCCCCACCCATCCCCGCACACGCGCGCGCAGACCCCCACCCATCCCCGCACACGCACGCATAGACCCCCACCCATCCCCGCACACGCACGCATAGACCCCCACCCATCCCCGCACACGCGCGCAGACCCCCACCCATCCCCGCACACGCACGCATAGACCCCCACCCATCCCCGCACACGCGCGCAGACCCCCACCCATCCCCGCACACGCGCGCAGACCCCCACCCATCCCCGCACGCGCGCATAGACCCCCACCCATCCCCGCACACGCGCAGACCCCCACCCATCCCCGCACACGCGCGCGCAGACCTCCATCCATCCCCGCACACGTGTGCACACGCGTGCACGTGGATGCACTCATGACCTGGGTCTCTGTGCGTGTCCCAGGCCCGCAGCCTGCAGGCGGTGCCTAGGCTGGTGAAGCTCTTCAACCATGCCAACCAGGAGGTGCAGCGCCACGCCACAGGGGCCATGCGCAACCTCATCTACGACAACGCAGAGAACAAACTGGCCCTGGTGGAGGAGAACGGCATCTTCGAGCTGCTGCGGACGCTCCGGGAGCAAGATGATGAGCTGCGCAAGAATGTCACAGGTGCTGGTTGCATCCGTCCGTCCAGTCCCGGCTGCCCTCCAGGGGCCCCTCCCCACGGCCCCCCACGCCCTCCTCCTCCTCCTCCCTTGCTTTTCCCCTCCTCCTCTGTGCTGTTCTCCATGTTCTGTGACAGACACATTTCCCCTGTTCTGCCTCTTTCCTTGGTCCCCAAATTCTGTGCTTCTGGCTCTGTCCCTCACTTATTTATTTTCGGTCATGGGAACGGGATTCAGGGCCTCACGGACGCCGTGCAATTGCTCTGTCATCGACCTGGGCCCCAGCCAGGACTCGCTCCTCACAGTCACCTTCACCTCTGGTCCCCCATGACCCCAATTCTTGTTTTCTGTCCCCACAACACTGGCCCCAGCACTGGGTGCCTCCCCAGCAGGCTCTCAGTGAGGAGGTACCAAGGACAGGAGAGCGCAGGCCGCATCCAGCTCCGTTCTCAGAAGGGAGCCCACAGCCTCCTGACCCCTGCCTTGGCCCGCCCACCCAGGAATCCTGTGGAACTTGTCATCCAGCGACCACCTGAAGGACCGCCTGGCCCGAGACACGCTGGAGCAGCTCACAGACCTGGTGCTGAGCCCCCTGTCAGGGGCCGGGGGGCCCCCCCCTCATCCAACAGAACGCCTCCGAGGCCGAGATCTTCTACAATGCTACCGGTTTCCTCAGGTGTGCTGGGCCGCAGGGCCACCAGAGGCCAAGGGGGGGACAGCCGGTGCCGTGCGGGGAGGGGCAGCGCTGGAGAGCCGTGCCCGTGGGGGAGGGGCAGCGCTGGAGAGCCGTGCCCGTGGGGGGAGGGGCAGCGCTGGGAAGTGGTGCCCGTGGGGGGAGGGGCAGCGCTGGGAAGTGGTGCCCGTGGGGGAGGGGCAGCGCTGGGAAGTGGTGCCCGTGGGGGAGGGGCAGCGCTGGGAAGTGGTGCCCGTGGGGGAGGGGCAGCGCTGGAGAGCCGTGCCCGTGGGGGAGGGGCAGCGCTGGAGAGCCGTGCCCGTGGGGGAGGGGCAGCGCTGGAGAGCCGTGCCCGTGGGGGGAGGGGCAGCGCTGGACAGCCGTGCCCGTGGGGGGAGGGGCAGCGCTGGGAAGTGGTACCCGTGGGGGGAGGGGTAGCGCTGGGAAGTGGTACCCGTGGGGGGAGGGGTAGCGCTGGGAAGTGGTACCCGTGGGGGGAGGGGCAGCGCTGGACAGCCGTGCCCGTGGGGGGAGGGGCAGCGCTGGGAAGTGGTGCCCGTGGGGGAGGGGCAGCGCTGGGAAGTGGTGCCCGTGGGGGGAGGGGCAGCGCTGGGAAGTGGTGCTTGTGTCTGAGACCTGAGGGACAGGCTACCATTGGCCAGTGGGCCTGGAGAGCAGGCACTGGGGCAAGCCACCTCTGGCCACCAGGAGGAAGGTGCGTCAGGCCCCGGCTGCAGGCTCCCAACCCTCAAGTGGTATCAAGGGGCAGGTCCTGCCATGTCTAGCAGGTGGAAAATGCTGGTGGCCGTGAATCTCACCGTAGGGCGGAGGCTTTGGCCTGGAGTCCCTAGGGACAGCTGGGCCGGGACCCCGAGGGGGACTCGATCTGTTTCCCTCCCCAGGAACCTCAGCTCGGCCTCCCAGGCCACCCGGCAGAAGATGCGCGAGTGCCACGGGCTGGTGGACGCTCTGGTCACCTACATCAACCACGCCCTGGATGTGGGCAAATGCGAGGACAAGGTGAGGGGCGGGGGTGCCTGGGGGTCCCCAGGCTTCAGCCTGCGCTGACCGCCGCCCTCCACCCCCACAGAGCGTGGAGAACGCCGTGTGCGTGCTGCGGAACCTCTCTTACCGCCTGTACGATGAGATGCCGCCGTCGGCCCTGCAGCGGCTGGAGGGCCGGGGCCGCGGGGCCCTGGCCGGGGCGCCAGCCAGCGAGGTGGTGGGCTGCTTCACACCTCAGAGCCGGCGGATGCGTGAGGTGGGCGCGGGCCTGGGCGGACGGGAGCAGAGGGCCCCCGTCCCGGACCCTCCCCCCGGCCTTGGCTACCCCGGACCCCGCTGACCCCAGCACCCTCTCGTCCAGCTGCCCCTCACAACCGATGCGCTCACCTTTGCCGAAGTGTCCAAAGACCCCAAGGGCCTGGAGTGGCTGTGGAGCCCCCAGGTGGTGGGGCTGTACAGCAGGCTGCTGCAGCGCTGTGAGCTGAACCGGCACACCACAGAAGCGGCCGCGGGGGCGCTGCAGAACATCACTGCCGGCGACCGCAGGGTCAGTGGGCCATGGCCCCGCTCCATCCTGTGCTGGGCTGGACGCCAGGACGCAGCAGGAGCCACTCCCCAGGAAGCTGGGGAGGGAGGACTGGGACTCAGAATGAGGCGCACGCTTTGCCCAAGCTCAGAACCCTGAGCTTACTCCACTTCTGGAGGCCTGAGCAGAGGGTCTGCCCAGACAGGCCTGGCCCCGGGAGGGCAGAGCTGAGCAGTGGCTCCAAGCGAGGGCGCAGCCCTGTGCTCCGCCCCAGGGCAGGGCGGCCTGGGCGCTGCTGGGGCCTCACCTCCCCGGCCTCCCCTCTGCAGTGGTCGGGTGTGCTGAGCCGCCTGGGCCTCACCTCCCCGGCCTCCCCTCTGCAGTGGGCGGGTGTGCTGAGCCGCCTGGCCTTGGAGCAGGAGCGCATCCTGAACCCCCTTCTGGACCGGGTACGGACTGCTGACCATCACCAGCTGCGCTCGCTCACAGGACTCATCCGAAACCTGTCTCGCAACGCCAGGAACAAGGATGAGATGTGTGAGTCAGGCCGTGCCTAGCCAGCCCAGTGGTTCTCCCTCATCGTCTGGCGTCTTGGTAACAGGCTGGGTGGGGGGAGGCAGGGGCATCAGCTGAGGGGCAGAGGGGAGGGGCACCCAGGAGCCCAGGGTCACTGACCTGGCCCTCCTGGCAGCCACCAAGGTGGTGAGCCACCTGATCGAGAAGCTTCCGGGCAGTGTGGGTGAGAAGTATCCTCCAGCCGAGGTGCTGGTCAACATTATAGCGGTGCTCAACAACCTGGTAGTGGCCAGTCCCATCGCCGCCCGCGACCTGCTCTACTTTGATGGTCTCCGAAAACTCATCTTCATCAAGAAGAAGCGAGACAGGTGAGGGATGACCCGACCCCAGGCAGCCTGGCTGGGCCCCCGCTGCCCAGGCTGCCCCTGGTACTGACCCCCAGCCTCCGGGCTTCCCCAGCCCTGACAGTGAGAAGTCCTCCCGAGCAGCCTCCAGCCTCTTGGCCAACCTGTGGCAGTACAGCAAGCTCCATCGAGACTTCCGGGCGGTACGTGCTGCAGAGCCCAAGCCTCAGGGCCTGGGGGACGGGGCACGGGAAGTCTAGGGAGGGACCCAGAAGCCAGGATGGAGTGGGAGTCGGGGCCACTGGGCAAGGGCCGGGCCGCGCCCAGCACGGGGTGGGGGGGGCCTGCAGGACAACAGGGCTGCACAGCAGTGATGCCCTAACCCCGGCCACTCCCCCCTGCAGAAGGGCTATCGGAAGGAGGACTTCTTGGGCCCATAGATGAAGACTTGTGGAGGACAAGGTGGAGCGTTCCAGCTTCGGAGTGGGCAGACTTGGCGCCAGCTGCTCACTCGCCCAGCTGGAGGAGGAGCTGATGGCCATAGGGTCTCACCTCCTAGAGGCTGGAGACAGCGGGAAGGGTGGGGTCTGGCAGCTTGGGGCTGGTTTCTGCAGGGGGTGGGGGCAGGGCTTGAGCTACTCTGGTGCGTGGGGTGGAACCCGGTCATAATGCAGAGGTGAGGCTGTCCTTAGCCTGGCAGGGCCGCAGGAGCACTGAGAATAAAGGTGGCAGCCGGAGTACTTCCTGTCTGGCTGCGGCGCCTGGACTGGCTGAGCCCAGGGGATGCCCACACGGACCGCTTGGGTTACACGGCCTCTCAGGACCAGGAGTCCAGAGTCAGAGAAGGCAGCAGAGAGCCCTGGAGAAGTGGAGATACAGGTCCAGCAGAGCTGGGGGCCCTCTGAGCACATTATCCAGTACCTCTGTCCAGCCCGGGGCTAGTGCAGGGACTCATCCCCACCTAAGGTTTGGAGGTGCCCTGGCTAGGAGTTCACACTAGTTGCCTAAGTTGGGGTCCCAGAGGCTCAGGCACATCCGGAAGCCACTGTTGATAACTGCACAACAGACAGCATGGTCACAGCTTAGAATTTAAGACCTTTATTACGTGGCACTGGGGTCCACGTTCCTTCCCTGAGAACCAGACAGGGGCTGCGGCCTTTCCGAAGGACACCTCCTGCCCTGCCTGCCCTCCCTGCCGTCCCCCCGGCCCGCCGCCCCCCTCAGCCCGCGTGCCAGGCTAGGCCAGAGCTACACGTCTGCCTCCGACACCAGGCAGTAGAAGTCCGTGCGGGCGCTGTAGTTCCTGGAGCCAAGGTCAGAGATGTCCACCTCGCTGCTTTGGCCTCCCAGCAACACCCCACCTGCATGTCGTGAGGCTGGTGGCTCCCCAAAAATAGGTCCACGCACGCCTGCAGGGGGTGGCACGAGGTCTGGGTCAGGGGCGGCCCGCAGACTGCCCCTCGGCCCGCAGACTGCCCCTCGGCCCGCAGACTGCCCCGCGCCAAGACCCACCGCCTGGCCTGCGTCTGCTCACCCCCAGCCACAGCGGCCCGGGAGGGTCAAGCCAGTGTAGAAGGGGGGAGAGGGGAGGGGGCTCTCGCAGGTGTACGCACCCCCCCCCCCGCGGGCCAGCCCCCCCCCCTGCGGGACCCGGGGCCGCGGCGGGGCAGCGCCGCACCCAGGTCTCCCTCGGGGTCCGCGTCTGCGTCTGGCTCGGGAGCTGCGCGGCCCGGCGTGGTCAGCATGGGGTCCTTGTCGTCCTGCCGCTGGGTCTGCGGGTCCCCGGCCCCCGCCGCCGGCCGGTACTGCACGGCCCGCGGCAGCGCCAGCTGCAGCTCTTTCCAGAAGTCAGAGGACGGCGTCTGCGGGCGGGGCTGCGTCAGCGGGAGGCCCGGCCCAGGGTATGGGGGGGCCCTGCCCCGCCGACCCGCACCATCGAGCCCCCCACCGACCCGCCCCACCGACCCACCCCACCGAGCCCCCCACCGACCCGCCCTACCGACCGGCACCACCGACCCGCACCACCAAGCCCCCCACCGACCCGTCCTACCGAGCCCCCCACCAACCCGCCCCACCGACCCGCCCCACCGACCCGCCCCACCGACCCGCCCTACCGAGCCCCCCACCGACCCGCCCCACCGACCCCCCCCACCGACCCGCACCACCAAGCCCCCCACCGACCCGTCCTACCGACCCGCCCTACCGAGCCCCCCACCGACCCGCCCCACCGACCCCCCCCACCGACCCGCACCACCAAGCCCCCCACCGACCCGCACCACAGAGCCCCCCACCGACCCGCACCACAGAGCCCCCCACCGACCCGCCCCACCGACCCGCACCACAGAGCCCCCCCACCGACCCGCACCACCGAGCCCCCCACCGACCCGCACCACAGAGCCCCCCCACCGACCCGCACCACCGAGCCCCCCACCGACCCGCACCACCGACCCGCCCCACCGACCCGTCCTACCGAGCCCCCCACCGACCCACACCACAGAGCCCCCCACCGACCCGCACCACCGACCTGCACCACCGACCCGCACCACCAAGCCCCCCACCGACCCGTCCTACCGAGCCCCCCACCGACCCGCACCACCGACCCGTCCTACCGACCGGCACCACCGACCCGCACCACCAAGCCCCCCACCGACCCGTCCTACCGAGCCCCCCACAGACCCGCACCACAGAGCCCCCCCCACCGACCCGCCCCACCGACCCGCCCTACCGAGCCCCCCACCGACCCGCACCACAGAGCCCCCCCCACCGACCCGCCCCACCGACCCGTCCTACCGAGCCCCCCACCGACCCGCACCACAGAGCCCCCCCCACCGACCCGCCCCACCGACCCGCACCACAGAGCCCCCCCCACCGACCCGCACCACAGAGCCCCCCCCACCGACCCGCACCACAGAGCCCCCCCCACCGACCCGCACCACCGACCCGCCCTACCGAGTTCCCCACCGACCCGCCCCACCGACCCGCCCCACCGACCCGTCGCACCACCGAGCCCCCACCGAGCCCCCCCACCGACCCGCGCCACCGAGACCCCCACCGACCCGCACCACCGACCCGCACCACCGACCCGCACCACCGAGCCCGCACCACCGACCCGCACCACCGAGCCCGCACCACCGAGCCCGGCCTCCAGAGCAGCAGCGTCACCAGGTGGCGGTGCTGGCGCAGCAGGCGCAGCGCCGGGTGCCCGGGCCCGCGCCGCTGGCCGTCGAAGGTGATGAAGATGGGTCTGCGGGTCAGCTCCAGCAGCCGGCACAGGCCTTCCCTGCGGGAGCCGCGGTCAGCCCCGCCCGCCCCGCGCGCCCCCGCACAGGCCTTCCCTGCGGGAGCCGCCCGCCCCCCCCCCTTCCCGGGAGCCGCGGTCAGCCCCGCCCGCCCCGGCACAGGCCCCCCCACCCCCACCCCCCCCCCCCCCCGCCCGGTACCGGAAGCTGTGGCTACACCAGGCTTGGCCCAGGAAGGCGTCGGAAAGCACGACGATGAGGCGTCGGCAGCGGCTCAGGTTTACCAGGAGGTCGGCCGAGGGCTCTGCGGAGCAGGGAGAGAGGGGTGACCCGGGCGGCACCCGAAGAACAAGCCCGGCCGCCAGGGGCGGGGCCGTGGGCGGGGCCGGCGGCGCTGGGGCGGGGCCGGCAGCTAGGTGATGAGGGCGGGGCCTGCAAAGGAGGGCAGGGTGGGAGCCGGGGAGGGGTGGGGCTGTGGGCGGGGCCGGCGGCAATGGGGTGGGCCTGCAGCCCAGGTGATAGGGCAGGGCCGTGAGGAAGGGGGGGAGGTGGGGTGTGGGCGGGGCCAGCGCCGGCCTGCAGCCCAGGTAATGGGGGCGGGCCGGGTGTGGGCGGGGCCAGGTCTGCAGCCCAGGTGATGGGGCGGGGCAAGGTGGCAGCCCAGGCCGTGTGGGCGGGGCCAAGGGCGAGCCTGCAGCCGAGGTGGTGTGGGCGGGGCCAGGGGCGGGCCCGCAGCCCAGGCGGCGGGGGCGGGGCCGGGTGTGGGCGGGGCCAGGGGTAGGCCTGCCGGCAAGGTGGTGTGGGTGGGCCGGGTGTGGGCGGGCCTGCTGGCGAGGTGGTGCGGGCGGGGCCTGGTGTGGGCGGGGCCAGGGCGGGCCTGCAGCCCAGGCGGCGGGGGCGGGGCCAGGGGTGGGCCTGCTGACGAGGTGGTGTGGGCGGGGCCGGGTATGGGCGGGGCCAGGGCGGGCCTGCAGCCCAGGCGGCGGGGGCGGGGCCAGGGCGGGCCTGCAGCCCAGGCGGCGGGGGCGGGGCCAGGGCGGGCCTGCAGCCCAGGCGGCGGGGGCGGGGCCAGGGGTGGGCCTGCTGACGAGGTGGTGTGGGCGGGGCCGGGTATGGGCGGGGCCAGGGCGGGCCTGCAGCCCAGGCGGCGGGGGCGGGGCCAGGGCGGGCCTGCAGCCCAGGCGGCGGGGGCGGGGCCAGGGCGGGCCTGCAGCCCAGGCGGCGGGGGCGGGGCCAGGGCGGGCCTGCAGCCCAGGCGGCGGGGGCGGGGCCAGGGGTGGGCCTGCCGACGAGGTGGTGTGGGCGGGGCCGGGTATGGGCGGGGCCAGGGCGGGCCTGCAGCCCAGGCGGCGGGGGCGGGGCCCGGGCGCTGGGGGCCGAGTCTCACCCGCGCGGGGCAGGAGGTCGCGGTCGTCCAGGAAGAGCTTGTAGCCCCGCCGCCTCTCCAGCTGCGGCTTCAGAATGAAGTGGACGAACTTGCGGTCTTCGGGGCAGTCGCTGTAGGACACGTAGGCGTCGTAGAGCTTCCCATCTGCGGAGAGTGGCCGGGCCTGTGTGTGGCCTGGCCGGCGCCTCGGCCGATCCCGGCCCCGACCCCTTGCACCTCCCCGGCGAGGTTCTTGCTCCTGCCCCCCCAGCCCCGGGCACCCTCAGACAGCGCCCTGGCTCCTGCCTGCCAGGATCTCCCCCGCCAGGCCGCCTGGGATGCCCCCCCCCCCCGTGTACCATTCATCTCCACCTCCCCCCTCCCCCCCGTACCAGTCATCTCCACCTCCCCCCTCCCCCCCCCCGTGTACCAGTCATCTCCACCTCCCCCCTCCCCCCACCCCCGTGTACCAGTCATCTCCACCTCCCCCCTCCCTCCGTGTACCAGTCATCTCCACCTCCCCCCTCCCCCTCCCCCCGTGTACCAGTCATCTCCACCTCCCCCCTCCCCCCCGTGTACCAGTCATCTTCACCTCCCCCCTCCCCCTCCCCCCGTGTACCAGTCATCTCCACCTCCCCCCTCCCCCCACCCCCGTGTACCAGTCATCTCCACCTCCCCCCTCCCTCCGTGTACCAGTCATCTTCACCTCCCCCCTCCCCCTCCCCCCGTGTACCAGTCATCTCCACCTCCCCCCTCCCTCCGTGTACCAGTCATCTTCACCTCCCCCCTCCCCCCGTGTACCAGTCATCTCCACCTCCCCCCTCCCCCCCCGTGTACCAGTCATCTTCACCTCCCCCTCCCCCCGTGTACCAGTCATCTTCACCTCCCCCCTCCCCCTCCCCCCGTGTACCAGTCATCTTCACCTCCCCCCTCCCCCCCCATGTACCAGTCATCTTCACCTCCCCCTCCCCCCGTGTACCAGTCATCTTCACCTCCCCCCTCCCCCCACCCCCTCCCCCTCCTCTCCCCGTGTACCAGTCATCTCCACCTCCCCCCTCCCCCCGTATACCAGTCATCTCCACCTCCCCCCTCCCCCTCCCCCCGTGTACCAGTCATCTCCACCTCCCCCCTCCCCCCGTGTACCAGTCATCTCCACCTCCCCCCTCCCCCCCCCCGTGTACCAGTCATCTTCACCTCCCCCCTCCCTCCGTGTACCAGTCATCTTCACCTCCCCCCTCCCCCCGTGTACCAGTCATCTCCACCTCCCCCCTCCCCCCCCCCCGTGTACCAGTCATCTTCACCTCCCCCCTCCCCCCGTGTACCAGTCATCTTCACCTCCCCCCTCCCCCTCCCCCCGTGTACCAGTCATCTCCACCTCCCCCCTCCCCCCCGTGTACCAGTCATCTCCACCTCCCCCCTCCCCCCTCCCCCCCTCCCCCGTGTACCAGTCATCTCCACCTCCCCCCTCCCCCCGTGTACGTCATCTTCACCTCCCCCCTCCCCCCACCCCCTCCCCCTCCTCTCCCCCTGTATCATTCATCTCCACCTCCCCCCTCCCCCGTGTATCAGTCATCTCCACCTCCCCCCTCCCCTCGTGTACCATTCATCTCCACCTCCCCCCTCCCCCCGCCTCCCCCCTGTACCATTCATCTCCACCTCCCCCCTCCCCCCCGTGTACCATTCATCTCCCCCTCCCCCCTCCCTCCTCCCCCTCCTCCCCTGTGTACCATTCATCTCCCCCTCCCCCTCCCTCCTCCCCCTCCTCCCGTGTACCATTCATCTCCACCTCTCCGTGACAGTCTTGGTACCAAAGCAGCACGTTGAGGCGACACTTCAGGTAGAGCAGGGCCAGCAGCAGCAGAGCCAGCAGGACGAGGAGGGAAGCCACAACTGCGGCCACATGGCCCGCCGGGCCTGCGGACAGGACGAGCTCCGGTTACTGACCCTCAGCGCCAGGTCCCTGCTGTCCCCACCTTCACCCCATGCGCCCCTCACCAGCTTTCCACAGAGTGAAGGAGAAGGAGCTGGTGTTGAGGACAGAGCAGGCAAAGGCCCCGTAGTCTTCAGCACTGGTCAGGTTGACCCCCAGGACACTGGATACAAGCACCTCTGAGAAGTTGGCCTTGACCCTGGGGAAAGAAGCTCAACCCTTAAGAGGCTCTGGGGCCTCCGTGGATGCCTGAGCCCCTCCTGACTGGAAGGTGGGTGAATCCTAGGCAGGGAAGGTATGGGCTTCCTGGGTGGCTCTCGAGCCGAGAGTTAAGTGGCCAGTGCCGGCCACTGGCAAGGCTGCCTCACAGCCACCGCCTGGCCCTGGATCTTGGGGTCCTCTGATCTCAGGCCTGGCCAGTGCTCATAGTCCTGGGAATCCTTAAAGCAAGCATCCACAGGGTCTTGAAGCCCCAGGAGATCTGGCCCTACCGTCACTGTGTCCACAGGGACACGACCCATATCCAATCTGGCTAGCTTCTGTTCAGCCCATGTCCAGGTGTTTATGACCAGAGTGTAGGTCACAGAGACTGCTGGCCATGGGCATGTCTGGGCGATCCTGCTCTCCTCAGGCACCCCAGTCTCTTACCAGAAGTCCTCTTGGAGGCTGTAGTGACTTCCATTGGGTAAAGAAAGCCCATCTTTCAGCCAGTGAACTGAAGGCTGGGGACAGTGGGGTCCAGAGACAACCCAAGCTGTGCAGTTCAGAGCAACTACACTGCCCAGAGCATGTTCCAGGGCTTGGTCTTCAGATGGGGAGAGGAAGTCGGGGGCCCTGCCACAGACACCTGCAGAGAGAAGAGCAGATCAGCTATGCCGTGATGTTGGGTTCCCAGGCCACGTGCAGGTTGGAACCCAGAAGAAATAATGCAGCCAGCAATGCTGATTGGTAGTCACACCACGTCCATCCCCAAGTCCCGAGGGGACAGGCCCCAAGCAGTAGCCATTGTTAAATGTTCTATCTGCCCTGAATGTGACCCAGGACATGGTCCAGAGAGGCCATGGCCAAAGTAATATTTGAATTAACCCTGGAATGCTCTTTTTTTTTTTTTTTTGGTTGGTCGTGGGGCTTGAACTCTGGGCCTGAGCACTGTCTCTCAGTTCTTCAGCTCAAGGTGAGCGCTCTACCACTCGAGCCACAGCGCCACTTCCGGTTTTCTGGCGGTGTGGAGATAAGAGTCTCACGAGTTTCCTGCCTGGGCTGGCTTTGAACTTTGATCCTCAGATCTCAGCCTCCTGAGTAGCTAGGATGACAGGCACGAGCCACCAATGCCCAGCTCCCTGGATGCTCTTTACGTAAGACATGAGTCTTAGCCGCCATATTTCCCACCCAGAGGAGAACAGACACCACACCTCTGGGATTGGCTTGCTCCAGATGGGGGAGATGCAGAAAGCTTAGGCACCAACAGGTTAAAAGAATATATACACTGAGCCGGGCGCTGGTGCTCACGCCTGTCATCCTAGCAACTCAGGAGGCTGAGATCTGAGGATCAAGGGTCAAAGCCAGCCTGGGCAGGAAAGCCTGTGAGACTCTTATCTATAATAAACTACTCAGAAAAAGCCAGAAGTGCTGTGGCTCAAGTGGTAGAGTGCTAGCTCTGGAGTACAGAGAGGCTCAGGGACAGCGAGCGCCCAGACCATCAGTTCAAGCCCCAAGAAAAAAATGCACTGAGAGGCCTGGGTAGAACTGGGAGCCTGAGGTTGCACGACCCTCCTTGTCCACAGGCCCGCTGCGGGCCAACCTTTTTCAGCTTTGGATCAAGGTGATGAGCCCTGGCCGGGGCCTGAGGGGTAGATTCCAGAAGTGTGGTGTCCCTCAGCCCACATCCACCCCCTCATCTCTGTGCCCCTGGGCCTCACCCTGAGTGCCTGGGCCCGGGACTCACGGCCTCACGGCCTCCTCTGGGCTCAGGGCCAAAGGCTGAGGAGCAGTGAGCAGAGGCCTTTGTACCCAAGCCTGCGTCTGAGCAGAGAACTCAGGCAAGAGCAGAGTGTGAGGCCCGGAGCCAGGATCAGGATACAGAATGAGGCCTGTGCCTCTGTGCCCCACCTACCTGCCATGGCTCTGTCGGGGGCCTCTCCGGGACAGGCTGAACACTGGTGGTGGGCCACCCCTGGCTCCAGGAGCTCCTTAATGAAACAGACTGCTCCACCAGCGGCTGGGCGGAAACCCTCTCTGTCCTTGTGGTCAGTTGGTCAGGGTGCCTGGACAGGTCAGAGGCTGCCGCCATCCCCAGGGAACAAGTTAAACAGGAACAGGATGAGTTAACCAGTAACCCTACAACAGGCAGCACAGGCACCATGCCAGGCAGCTGCCATGGGCTCTGGCCAGTCCTCGGGGCCTCAGTGAGCTGCCAGACACCCGCCCAGTCAGAGTGGGCGCCACCTCACACTGCCCGGGGGGACGAGAAGAGGATCTCAAGTCTATGACTTTTTTTTTCTTGCTCTGGGGCCACAGAGATGACCCAGGGGTGCAGTGGACACATACACATACAGTCTGCTCTTGTGAGGGAACAGCCTCATCCCTGGTATCCCTGCAAAGGACTGCTGCACGCCAGCGGCTGCCCGGCGCCTGCCGCCCAGCGCCTGCCGCCCGGCGCCTGCCACCCGGCTAGGTCCTGGAGACTCACAGTACTTGGCTGCTGGACTCTAGCTCAAAGTCACTCCCAGCCGTGGAGGTCTAGATGCAGTGCATGTGCCTGTGTGCATAGGCACACAGCACACCTACGGTCACTCTGCGGGTCAGCTGGGGCCTGCAGTCCCTGAACCAGGAGGGGCAAACGCCAACTGGGCTGCAATGGAGGCTACTCTGAGGGCTGACCGAAGGCTGTCCTGGGCCACTCAGCTGCCAGCAGTAGCTACACACACCTGACTCTAAAAGCCCCTTAGTGACATGATGCAAGGAGGAGCTGCTGAGAGCTATTCCTCATCACCTGGACCCTGGGGTCTCCTGACCCCGGTGCACCCTCTCACTGAGGGGATACATGGGCAGCAGTGACCTGGGGTCAGTCCCAAGACTCTAGGCCCAGGAACCCTCAAGATGTCTGCTCCTTGGCCGGAACCGGTGGCTCACCCCGGTGATCCTAGCTATTCAGGAGACTTAAGACCTGAGGGCTATGGTTCAAAGCCAGCCAGAGGCAGATAAATCCACGAGGCTCTTATCTCCAATTAGCCAGCAAAAAGCCAGAGGTGGAAGTACAGGTCAAGTGGTAGAACACCAGCCTTGAGCAAAAAAGCTAAGGAGCAGGGCTGAGTTCCACCCTAAGTACTGGAATTTTAAAAAGTCTCCACCACACTAAAGCCCCAGAGGGTTCCTCAGAGATAAGGCTCCTACCCCGCCCATGTTCCCCCAGCCAGGAAACCAGACTTGGCTGGGCAGCAATTGCCCTAGGAACTAGCTCAGCCTGTAGCGTGTCTTCTGTTGGCATTGGCAAGGGGACTTGTCCAGAAGCCCCTTAGAGTGGAGGGAAGTTGTAGGAAAGCCCATCAAGCAGAACTGCCCTCGGAAGGTGTGCAGAAGACGCCCTCTCGTGCAAAGGCCCCGCATAGCATGAACATAGAGCCGTGTTCCAGCCCGGCAGGTCCCATAGTGTCCCCTGCAGCCACTTTGGGTTTTTTGTTATTTTGTTTTTGCCAGTCCTGGGGCTTGAATTCAGGCCTGGGCGCTGTCCCTGAGCTGCTTTTGTTCAAGGCTAGCACTCTACCACTTGAGACACAGTGCCACTTCCAGCATTTTCTGTGTATGTGGTACTGAGGCATTGAACCCAGGGCTTCATGCACGCTAGGCCAGCACTCTACCACTGAACCACATTCCCAGCCCTAGCAGCCATTCCTGAACTCTCCAGATTTAAGATCTTGAGCCCCTGCAAAGACAGTCTCAGAAGCTGAGGTAGCTACCCCCCCTCCAACAATCTGTGCACACAGCCCTCTGACCCACACAATTAAACCGGGCTTACCTTGGCTGGTGTGCACCCTGGGTTCCACCCAACACCCTTCCTGCCGCACGCCTCTGGCTACCACTGCTGTACACACTGTTATATACTCCCAGTGCTGCCTTCACACACACAGGTGTGTGCGTTGGCACATGTTGGTATGTGCGTGTGGGATGCCCGGGGGTCCTCGGCCACGCCTAGCTCTGAGAACAGGCCACAAAGCCACGGAGCAGCAGTGAAGGCGGTCACCGGTTCCGGCTCTCGGCTCCCCCTCCCCCCAGAAGTAGACCGCTGAGGTCACTGGTGTGCACTGGGGAGCAAGGCCCTCTGCTGGACCCCAGCAAGTGTCCACAACACCACGGCTCCCCAGGACGCACCCCCAGCTTGGAGGGAACCTGCTTTTGTGAGTGTTATTTGAGAACTTTCCTGTAGTTTCCTGGCCTTGCAGTCACATCCTCTCCCAAGCCAAGCTCCACCCAGGCACCCACCCCTTCCCCTGGCGGGCGGGCATTTCAGCCCTGGCCCCGCCTGCCTGGTTCTTCCCCTGGCTGAGGCCATCCTGGCCTCTGGGGCCTCCTGCTCTGCACTTGCCTCCGTGCAGTGTGTGTGTGTGTGGGGGGGGGGTTGTAGAGGGGCACGTGCTGGGGTGATGTGCAGGGTCCTGGCCTGAAGGCCCCAGAAGCACCTGTCTTCACAAGGCGGGTCGGTGGGGCCACCTCCTGGGTCCCCTCCCTCGGGGTGGCTGGGTCCTCTCTGGCCAGCCCCGTGCTCGTCTGACCTCAACCTTCCACAGAGCAAAGGAGACCCTTCAGGAACTGCTGGCTGAACACGGAGGGTGGCGGGGATGAAGACGCAAGGGCAGGGCTCGGAGTCGCTCTGATTAAAACACGATGGAAGCATGTGGGCAGTGCCACCGGGAAGGAGACAGGACGAAACGGGTGGAAACGGGTCCGTTGGCAGACAGGGTGGGGGGTGAATGGGTTGCACTGCTTGGGTACAGGTGTGAAATGTCACGGTAGAGCTTGTTACGGTGGATTTGGGAAGGGGAGGGGACGAAGGGGAATCGGCTGCAGGGGTGTGGTGTGTACACCTGGACATGTGGACAAGAAACCCCTGCAGATGGGAACGGTCGGCTGAGAACAGTCCTGCGGCAGAGCGCCCGACAAGACCCGGATGAGAGGTCACAGGGCGGAGCAGGCTCCTGGGCCTGACCTGGGCGGTGGAGGGCGCCCCTTCCCGGGTCACTGCGGGTCACTGCGGGTCACTGCGGGTCACTGCGGGCGAGGCGGCCTGAGCCCGGGGCCGGGGCCCCACAGGCGGCCCGGCCTGGCCCTCAGAACCGGGCGGGTCTCCTCTGGCCGGCCGGGGTGGGGGTGGGAGGCGGGGGGGGGGGGGGGGGGGACGGGGGGAGGGGGGAGGCGGGGGACGGGGGGGAGGGGGGACACGGGGGGCAGGGGGACGGGGGGAGGCGGGGGGGCAGAGGGGAGGGGAGAGGCGGGGGGAGGGGGGACACGGGGGGGCAGGGGGGAGGGGGACACGGGGGGCAGGGGGAGGGGGGACACGGGGGGCAGGGGGGAGGGGGACACGGGGGGCAGGGGGGACGCGGGGGTCAGGGGGGACGCGGGGGGGCAGGGGGGAGGAGGGACACGGGGGGCAGGGGGAGGGGGGAGGCGGGGGGGCAGGGGGGAGGGGGGAGGCGGGGGGGGGGCAGAGGGGAGGGGAGAGGCGGGGGGACGGGGGGAGGGGGGGACACGGGGGGCAGGGGGGAGGGGGGAGGCGGGGGGGGGCAGAGGGGAGGGGAGAGGCGGGGGGACGGGGGAGGGGGGACACGGGGGAGGCAGGGGGAGGGGGGACGCGGGGGGGAGGGGGGACGCGGGGGGAGGGGGGACACGGGGGGGAGGGGGCAGGGGGGACGGGGGTCGGCGGGACGCGGCTCGCGGGGCCTTCCCGCCTGGCTGGGCACGGCGGGGCGTGCTCCGTGCCCGGCGGGCCCCCCCATAAGCCCTGCGCGGTGCTGCGTCCCCCACTCTGCGCTACGGAAAACCGGGGCACACGCGGCCCGGGAGCACCCAGGTCGGGCCGGGGTGCGGGAGGACCCGCGCCGCAGCCCGCGCCGCAACCTGCCTCGCCGGCCAATTACCGGGCGCTGCGCCTGCTCGGGCCAGCTACCTGCTCGGTAATGCACGCGGTCGGCGGGGGCGCCCGCGGGGTCCGGAACGCGTGCCCGCGGCGGGGGCGGGGGGGGGGGGGTGGCGCGCGCGGGGTCGGACGCGCATGCCCGCGGCGGGGGGCGGGGGCGCGTCTGCGGGGTCCGGACGCGCATGCCCGCGGCGGGGGGCGGGGGCGCGCCCGCAGGGTCCGGAACGCGCGTGCCCGCGGCGGGGGCGGGGGGGGGGGGCGCGCGCGGGGTCCGGACGCGCGTGCCCGCGGCGGGGGCGGGGGCGCGCCCGCGGGGTACGGAAGCGCGCGAGTATTTCTTTTCTAAACTTGCCCTTCCACGTGAAGGCATGAATCCTACATTTAATTTTAAAAATCAGTTAGTTCTGAGACTAGTATCATCCTAATTCAAATTGAATTCACAAATAAAAGAACCCAACGTGGTTGCATGGGGTCCGGACGCGCGTGCCCGCGGCGGGGGCGGGGGGCGCGCCCGCGGGGTACGGAAGCGCGTGCCCGCGGCGGGGGCGGGGGCGCGCCGGGCGGGGCGCGCGCGTTGGCGGCGGGCCCGGGCGCACGCGCACTAAGGGCCGCGTACGCGGGCGGCGGAAGCTCGCCCCCGGCCCCGGCCCCGGCCCCGGCCCCGGCCCCGGCCCCGGCCCCGGCCCGCTCTCTCCGGCGCCGTCGGAAGCCCCGGCCGGGGTCTGGCCGTGCGGCCGGGGTCCTGCGCGTTTCGGCGCCCCGCCGCCTGCGGTGGGGCCGAGCGGAGCCAGTGCGCGGGAGGCCGGGCTTCCGGGCGGCCCGGGGCCCGCAGGGCCGCGCGGGGTCCCGGAGCGCCCCGGCTCCAGCCCGGCCCCGAGCCCGGCCCGCCGCGGCTGGCGCCCGCGCCCCGCACTCACCTCCAGGGCCTGCGTCCGGCGCGCGGCACGCCGGGGCCCGGGGCGGGGCCGCCGGCCAGGTGCGCGGCAGGTGCGGCCCCGCCCCGGGCCCGGAGGGCGGGCGGCCGCTCCCCGCCCGCCCCGAGGCCCCCAGCCCTCTGCCCCTGCGGGCCTCGCTCACCCACAGCCGGGGGTCAGGGGGGTCGGGGGTCTGGGGGCCTCGCTCACCCACAGCCTGGGGGTCGGGGGTCTGGGGGCCTCGCTCACCCACAGCCTGGGGGTCGGGGGGGGGGGGCCTCGCTCACCCACAGCCTGGGGGTCGGGGGTCTGGGGGCCTCGCTCACCCACAGCCTGGGGGTCGGGGGGGGGGGGGGCCTCGCTCACCCACAGCCTGGGGGTCGGGGGTCTGGGGGCCTCGCTCACCCACAGCCTGGGGGTCGGGGGGGGGGGGGCCTCGCTCACCCACAGCCTGGGGGTCGGGGGTCTGGGGGCCTCGCTCACCCACAGCCTGGGGGTCGGGGGGTCGGGGGTCTGGGGGCCTCGCTCACCCACAGCCTGGGGGTCGGGGGTCGGGGGGCCTCGCTCACCCACAGCCTGGGGGTCAGGGGGCCTCGCTCACCCACAGCCTGGGGGTCGGGGGGTCGGGGGGGCCTCGCTCACCCACAGCCTGGGGGTCAGGGGGGGGGCCTCCCTCAAGGAGAGGCCCCTCACCTGGAACATTCCAGACCCCACCATTCTCTGACCATGTAGCACAGAGCAGATGTGACCTGGAAAGCTTATTTTTCCTGCAGCAGCAGGCTCAGCAGCCAACCCAGATAAGCTTGGTTTTATGACAGAAAGTTCTGGCGGCTGAGCACGGCCAGGGCCTCCAGGGGGACAGGAGCCCAGCTGAGGGCCAACGGGGCTGGAGGGGCCAGCCAGGCTGCAAGGGGCCGGGGGCTGGAGGGGCCAGCTGGCCGCAGGGGGCCAGGGGCTGGGCTGCAGGGGGCCGGGGGCTGGAGGGGCCAGCTGGCCGCAGGGGGCCGGGGGCTGGGCTGCAGGGGGCGGGGGGGGGGGGGCCAGCTGGCTGCAGGGGGCTGGGGGCTGGAGGGGCCAGCTGGCCGCAGGGGGCCGGGGGCTGGGCTGCAGGGGGCGGGGGGGGGGGGGCCAGCTGGCTGCAGGGGGCCAGCTGGCTGCAGGGGGCCAGCTGGCTGCAGGGGGCTGGGGGCTGGGCTGCAGGGGGCCGGGGGCTGGGCTGCAGGGGGCCGGGGGCTGGAGGGGCCAGCTGGCCGCAGGGGGCTGGGGGCCGGCAGAGGAAGGCCCTGAGAACTCTTCCTGCTTTGGCCTGCATGAAGCCCCACACCCTGGCTCTATGGGAACTTGGACACCCAGAGAAATGGGGCAGATGCCATAGGGACACCAGTGCTTTAAACACACAGAACTCCAACGGCGCAGCTATAGAAGGCTGTCCAGGGCTTCCTTGGACGTGCCAGGTATACCACCTTTATTCAAGGACTCCGATAACCACCCACATGTACGCAGCCTCCAGGGCCACCCATGTCGACACAGGCCTCCCAGGATCCCACACCCGGGCCTTCTCACAGCTCCCAGGGCAGGCCGCGGTCAGGGTCAGTCTGTGGACGTGGGAGCTGGTGCCCAGGCTCCTCTCCCCTTGTTCAGGGCTGGCTGTCTACACCTCTGTGCTCCTGGAGCTGGGCCTGCCGGTGGGTGGGTGGGCAGGTAAGGTCAAAGGGTGGATCCCCCGTGGACCTTCCCCAGCGCCTGCCCCAGCCCAGCCAGCCCTACCACATTTTCTGAAGCGTCTGGTTCTCCTGAAGTGTCTGGTACTTCTCCCGAAGCATCCTGTACTTCTCCTGAAGCGTCTTGTACTTCTTGTCTAGCACAGTGTTCTTCACCAACTGGGGGGTGTCCGGCACAAACCACGCCGCGATGAGCTTGACGCACAAGGCCACATGCTGCGGATGGGGGCCCAGGAGGCCCAGTAAGGACAGGGCTAAACAGGACCTTTGGGGGTCGGTGAAGAGAGCTGCCTGCCTGCCACCTCCACCTCTCCTCACTTCCGCTCACCTCGAAGAGGATGACGAAAGCTAGGCGGATGGCCAGGAGAAACCAGAACTGCTCAGAGAGGTTGTAGTCGTGGGCGTTGCGGTAGTCCCGGTACCTGAAGGAGGGAGGAACCTGAGGTCAGGGGTCAGGAGGGCAACCTGGGGGGGGAGGGAGAAGGGGGAGAAGAAGGTTCCAGACCTGCACTTGGTGATGTTTTCCCAGCCCTCTTTCATGATTGGGTCCTGGAAGTCCTTGATGTGGAAAACAGACAGGCTGTGGTTCACATAGCCCTTGAGGCAGCTGCAAAGACAGGAGGGGGCTAGCAGGGCCCCCGGGGCCTGAAGCACTTCTCAGAAAGTGGGGGGCTA